TTCATTTTTCTTCATTAATTTTCTCTTCCTTTTCCCTCTTTATATAATCCCTGCCTCACTGACTGAGACACACTAGTGCCTGACTCCTCCTAAAAGCACTCATAATTGGCTCTTCCATGCCTCATTGTACCAATGGCACATTGAAAACGTCCCTGTCACACTCTAATCAATGCATCAAAAGATCCCTAATTTGTTAAGCACTGAAGCCGCCCGCCTTCATCCATACATCCTTCTCGTCTCTGCTCTCATGTTCCTACCTTCTTGCTCCTCTCAGTCTGAATGATGCTGGTTTCAGTTTCCCTAATTAGCCAGCATCTACTCCTGGCAGCGGGGTCTCCAAAGATTCAGGATCTGAGGATCTCAATGAGGATCTCTCTGACCTGGCTTCAAAGGCCGAGCTGAACAAAGCTTTTTGCTGCCAATACAGCCACTTACACCTTTCAAATAAGACCATCCTGCTCCTCTGGAGTGGCCACTAGGGATCAGGGCCGGAGTAAGGGGGGTTTCGATGTATGTGCCTGTTTGCATGGTGGATTGAGGTCCCAAATCCCATCTTAATCCAGTCACTGTTTTTTACTGCTCTACTATTTCCTCATCCCCTTCATCCTTCCAGCCCCCTCAGCCTTTTCCCAACTCCCCTAACACTAAGCAGCGACCCGCAGCCCTTCCCTCTTCCGCTGCAGGTCCCAGGTCGTGGACACAGCAAGGCAGTAGGGGAGTGTGTTGTGGCTGATTTTAAGGCTAGAGGGTGGTGCCGGTGGTGTAAATTGAGTCAAGATGCTAAGTGTTGAACGTTAAATTGGTATGAATCCATCAGCAAGTGTCGAGGTGCAGCTGCGCCTGCTGTGCCAACCCATGATTGATGAGGGACAAGCACATGCCAGCAGAGTCGCTGCTTTCTATGCCATGCACGTCCAACTCCAGTGGCTGAGCACTCGCACACAAAAAAAGAAAGAAGAAGAATGCAAGACTACAGCCTCTCAGCAGCTCATTGCAATTTCATGACAGATTCAAACATCCCTTATGACTAAGATATTTGAGAGTAATTCCATGTAACAACTATCTACGTGTAAAACTCCAGAAGCAGAGGGAGCTAAAATTAAGCTGCGATATTAAAATAACAACATAATGCAGAGAAGGGTTCCTCCCTATTGTTACATTGGTAATTATACTTAACATTAACATTACCTTGATCCTCCATCATCTGTTTAAAAGAGAGTAATGACTGTTTGCATTGTCTTCTAAAAGTCATCATAAATAATCTTTATCGAATGTCACTCCACATTGTTTTGCTGTACAAACACTTAAGATACAGGTATTTTTGAAGCAAAGGTATCCAAATAATAAATAAGTAACTGCTTGGAAGGATAAGGATGCTGTTAGCCCATTTTCTGAGTTAGGCAGTTTAAAGGCAGTGTTCACTTTGAACTCTGATAATTGGCCATGCTCACTTATCTTTTTCTGTTTGTGTGAAGTATCATTCACACAGAATAATTAGCAATCACAAGTTGCCTGGTGCTGCTGTGTGTGTCTGGCAAAGGACCAAATTTGGCATCCAGCAGCACAATCTGCAAGCACATCTGAAGCATATGTGTGTTTGCATGCAGCATTTGCGTATCATTTCAGGCACTGTATGCATGTGTGCAGCCCATTGTGTCCTGCACACAATGAATCTTTATTATAATAATATTATGGCATTACAATCAAACAATGGCTGTATCCCTCACTCTCCCCTCCTCTTTATCCCTTTCTCTCTCTTTCCATTCTTGTACCGTCCAACAGAGTTTGGACCTTAACTGTAAAGCAAACTGGAGCAAACACAGTTGGAGAGAGAAAAAGGTTGCAAAAAAACCCCACTGCAGCAAAAAGAAGAGCAGCTCCAAACAGAGCTGGCCATTGCTTTAGGGAGAGTGGATCTGGCTTTGTTCATATCTGAAACAACTAATATAAAAAACATTTTGATGAGGTCTGTGAGGCAACAAGAGCAACAAGATTACATTTGCATGGAATTAACTGTTGAATAGGCCTGCAAATACATGCATAATTGGCTAATATATATGCTGTATGGCATTTTGCAATCATTGCAATCAATGTCAAAGCCACAACAAGGGTATGAAAAAGAGCAATACTGACTCACCATATCTGCTGATGGAGGTGCGGGATATGCTGGCTGAGGAAGGGATGTTGTATGATGAGGTCTGTTTGGGCACCAAAGCCACAACGCAGCGGTCTGATACCTGTGTGAAGAGACACGTACAACATGAGTCTGCTGGTATCGTAATGTTTTGCTGATATCCATTTTTTAATTCTAACAGAGTATTGGTGTTTTATCTAACACATTATATTCCTGAAAATGTTCATGTTATAGTCAAGTAGACTGCATAAGGAATGAGACCCCTACACAGCCCATCCCTCCCTGTCATATCTGTGCTCCCTGCTGTTCTCTACCACAGCCCTGTGGCTTTTTCTTCAGCAGAGCAGAGTGCTGTGGCTGCATGATGGCTGTACTTAACATGACTGTCATTGTCATCCCCTTCACAAACATAAGAGACATGGTGTAAGCTTTGGAACTGGGATAAGATGCTAAGAGGGAGTGAAAGAGAGAGAAAGAGAGAGGAAAAGGGAAAAAGAGACAGAGACAGAGACTAGAATGCTGAATGTCTCATCTTGTGTACACTTCACACACACCCTTAAAGAAAATGGGGTACACAGGTATAATAATAGCATTAGAGCAGCACGGAGTCAGAGTCAAAGAGAAAGACGAAGATGGTGAGAGACAGACACTGAGGTTCATCCTTATCCCCCTCTGTGGTTTATATTTACAAAGGGCTCTTGGCCCTGTATGATGTTCTCCAGTCACTTCCTGAGAAAAACTGCTGTAAAAAACATTAGAACGGATGGTTTTGTTTTAAAGACCCTTTAAGACCTTAAATCAGTCTAACAGTGTGATTAATTCATCGTGAAATGGCATTTAAATCAGAATTCATCTTTGAAATGCTACTACTGTTAGTACAACAAAACATCACATTTTAGAAAAAACACAGCAAACAAAACTTGAGGTTCTTTTATGAAAGCCAAAACAACAAACAGCTTGTTGGCTGGCATTTACAGCCCACCCTGAGGAGGGATTTCTGCTTCAGACCCAGCGAAGAAAAACTGATGAGCCTCCAGTGGAGAAATAAACAAAAGGCAAATGCCAGGCTCCAAAAGGAATACCTCAAATAATCTATAGAAAAACAGAAAATTCTTCTTTTCATTCGCTTTAGCAGGAACGAGCTCTTCTCCATCCCTTGTTGGAAAATAAGCTAGTCGAATTTGGGGTGGACATTTGTAGAGTTCCCCCTTGCCACCAAGAGCAAAAACAACTCTCATCCTCCCCCAGTTTTGTCCTCACCCTCTTCTCCCACTCTTTCCAAACTAATCTCGGCTGTGCTATTAGTTGGAGATGCCATCTGGCCTCTACTGGCCACACTGGAGAGACACTTGAAACCGGGGATGAAATCTGGAGTAAACCTCTTAAAAGACGCAGCTCTTGGAGGGAAATGAAAAATGGTCCCCCACATCCCCATCCACGAGCGGCATCTTTGACCCTTCTCTCTCTCACCTCACCTCTTTCTCATTTGTCTCTGCTTTCCTAAACCTAATTTCTATGGCCTCTCCATCATATAGCCTCTTCTTGGCTGACGATGCACAGACCAACTCTAATACACCAACAGTGTGGACTTGCGTGAAGTTTCCACTGCTATTCCTGTGATACATATTTCCTGGGGACCATGAAATAGCCTCTCTGCCCCCCTTACCTTTACACCTCCCTCCATCTAGCTCTCTTTCTCTATGCTTTTTATGGCTGACAGAGGGGCTACAGCAGAGATGGGTCTTTGTGATAGAGTAAATGATTGAAGGCTTGCAGATTCGCCCTTCAGGGATAATCCAGTGTGGGGCTGATAGTGGGCAGGTGTGATAAGGGCTGTGGGCCCTGCCTATGATAAGACCTTCCATTAGACAGTGCAGAGCTGGCCTGACAGAGAGTGTGGTCAGCCTCTATCTTTCTTTTCTTAGCCCTCCCCACACAACCAACAGTTCTGGTCCTAGCCTGTTTCCCCTTGATGTCCCATCTCTCCTGGACTCATGCACTAAGATCGCGATGCTTATCATACCTGTTGACTCTGCCCAGTAGCTTGGAAATACACAACCTGTCCATATGTGCACTTCTCGGCAGGAATTACGAATTTGAGCTGAGCCATTGTGTTCGAATATAACTCTGCCGGTCTTTCTAATGGAATTTCAGTTGGATATTAATCAATGAAATGTGCCACTGAAGAATCAATGTGAGTTCTTACAAATACTGACTCCCAGTGCTGCAGCAAAGCAGAATTAAAATCCAAAATATCTTTCCATTTCAATTGATTTTTATGGGGTATTTTAACACTATTTGTTAAAATATTTACTCAGAAAGTATTCTCTCTCCTAAAAACCTTATATTTCCCACCTATCCGAGATTTGTATTCAGGTTTACAATGGGGACCAGCAAACCAAGACAGCCTCAGCATTAGATTAATGAACAGACAGCAATATAGTAGTATCTGTTGTGTCTGGGTCTGTTGAAAATAGCCCAAATGCCCCAAGTGATGTCTGCAAGGTGGGTAACAGGATCTAGCTGGCTGGCTCTCCTGGTGTGGTCATCAGTGTCTGCTCTCCCTGTTCCTTCACCGCAGAGAAGAGGACAGACAGAGGTCACCAAGCAGCAGGGGAAGTTTCCAAACTGACTTTACTTTATATTTTTGACGCAGTCTCAGCCAAACTGAAAAAGGTCTGTCCTTTACTGTCACTTATCTGCACATTAGGAATGACATTCCAGAGAAAACACACACTGCCCATGTGTCCCCGCAAATGAATGTGGCAAACAAATATTAATATGCTGCAACAGCCATAGTCCACCTGTTATGAATCACACTTTGTCAAACATCATCAATGTAATTACTCACACAGCACTCCGGTGTGGGTCTGTTTGCAGTTTGAATCACCATAAATAACCTAAGCAGTCTGACAACTTCAGTTAATGATAATGTCTGGTTTATGAGAATTGTTAATGCTGCTCTCTCTCCAAAGTGACTTGAGTTCATAAGACTGATTCATGTGGCTGCGGAACTTGTCAGGATCCTTGCTTAGTTTCCGGATACAATCCAGCAGGAGCAAGGTTAACACTGCCGTGTCTCAAGATGACAGAGACGGGGGAGGTGGATACGAGAGAGGGTGTGATTAAATGCTTTTCTTTGACAGGATGGAAGATTAAACAACAAAAAGATCCAAATCAGCAATCAACCAAAAAACTCTCCAATTTCATAAATCTTTTATCTCAACTCCTGTGTTTGTCTGTGTGTAAGCATGTGCAATGTGGATATGCGCTCTGTGTGTGTGTGTACACACATGCATTGTGTGTATATTTGAGTCTGCTTCCATCTTATTCTATCTTTATCTATGCAAAAAAGACTGTAAAATATACAGAAATAGAAAGAGTGGAGTGGCAGGATGGGAGTTTAGTCCCCTTGCTGTGAATACCAAGGTGTTGAATAAAGATTCTGAACTCATTTTAAATGTGTGCATTTATGTTTTTAATTTTGGTGTAGCAGGGAGCTGGGAAGGTGTGCATTTCCATATCCAGGTTATGTAAACTATTATTTCCCATGTGGCAGGGTAAATAGCCAATGGGGTTTCTTGGGATGCTGTGAGCCCCATAAATTTTAATGCCTCTGTCTGGTCCCCGTGTCTCTACTATGGGAGAATTAGCAACGACTTTAGGTGATGTTCAGTCTCACTCTGCATATTTCAGACCCCTTTTCAATACTTTTTATTTTCCTCTTCCCATTTTTTTCTTTAAGCTTTTCCCTCACTCCAGGGCCTAATGAGCTGTGTTCCCTTGTTGTGATAGGCAGCCAGATGTGCTGTTGCAGCTGCCAATGCAATGGCATGGTGTATGTGACGAACACAAACAGGTTCACAAACAGGGGCCATTGCCAGCTCATCAAAACAGTAACGATGCACAAGTGTCTATGTTATGTTCCATCCTGCTCTCATCTCTTCTAGCACCAACTTTTATTCCTTCACGCTCCTTCTCTTTCTTCCTCTCTTTCTCTTCTTCCCCATGTTGCCCTACAGCCCGCCGGCATCTCCTCTGAAGTTGCACAGTGTCGGGCCTTACGTTCTGTGCAGGGACCCTTAGATCCGTGATCAATAGCAGTCCTTAGATCTGCTATTGAGCTAGCGAATAAGTGAAGCGGCCACACGCGTGTTACTGTTTGCCCCGTAGCGTCTCCCTTGGCTAACGATGGGTAACAGACTGTGACGCAAAGAATTGCAAAAAACAACAAAGGAGCCCATTATGGTGTGGAGGCAAACACACTGCACCGCTTCATCAAGGATTAAAGCACAGCAGAGACCAGAGAAGACGAGGTACTCAGACCATGAGATGAAGAAAGGGAGAAAAGAGGGACTGGAGAGGAAAGAATTGCTATTCAGTGGCCGAGAAGGAAAAAGGATGGGAAATGGGTACGAAAAATGTAAACAAGATAAAAATGTGAAGAGAAAATTTAAGAAAGTGGAGATGATGAAGGTGAGGACAGAAAGGGGGAGGACTATGGAGGGAAGACAAAGGGGAAAGCTGCATGGTGCCAAGTCCTTTGTGAAGGACACTACGGTGTGTCCCTTCTTCTAATGACTCCTACATCTGTTAAATTATTCTGCTTGCTCTGCTGGGGCAGGAGTTCAGGTTGACCCCTCAGCGTGAGGGCTTGAGCCTCGCCAGACCTCGTCCCCATTTTCTGCTTCTAGATGGAGCTGCATCTCCTGGCCCCACAGCCCCTGTCTCCAACCCCAGCCACAGCTGCATCTCAGCCCTGACCAGGTAGCCCAGAATCAAACCTCATGCAGTCTTAAAGCAGATGGTCCCCCTTGGCTGACTAATGAGAGCTGGCTGAGCATGCACTGCAAAAGATTCATGACCTGAGGAGATGGCTAACTTCTCATTCTGTCTTGGCTGTTTCTTCTTTATTCCTTTTATTCCTCTTTATTATTTCTTTCTGGCTTTATTTCACTACCCTTCCATCTCCTTCTTTCATTTTCAACTCAACAGCCATGCATTCTCCTGAAAAATTCAGAACTCCTCTTGTTCTCATTTTTAGCTCTCTACTTTCCTCTCTGTTAAACAGAGGGCAACAGGTAAGCATGTATAAGCCCTAAAATTGTAGGGTGTGGATCAAGGTTCTACATATGAAGAGACAGAAGTAGGCAATCACAGCAGGACTAATTGTTGCTGGTGTAGAAGTCAACAGGGCAGAATGAGAGAGAGAGAGAGCGAGAGAGAGAGAGAGAGAGATGCTGCCCTCCTGACTGGAGCAGCTTCCTCTCTCCAGGGAGGAGGGAAAAGTGTCAGCTGAGATGCTGAAGGTTCATCTCTCCTGCCACCTGTACAGTAATTGTCCTCTATTCTGTCACTTGGATTACACCAGGCAAGGGCATGCAAATGAGGAGCTGAAAATTGGCTGCCTAAAAGTCAAGAGCAGGAACATCAAAGTTTGGCGAGGTATGTGGTACACTTTCCATAATAAAAGCCACAGCAGAAATTGAACTGAAATGAGAACTTTCTTGATAAAAAAAAGTGAAGTTTGAGAGTTAATTAGGGAAAACATTACTATAAAGCTGTAGTGCATATTTACCTGGTAGTGCATGAGAGTGTTGAGCCTCTTCCAGTCATTTTCTATCTTGGTGGTGATGTCTTCATCCTGCAACACCACACGAGCCAGTCGCCCCTGCCGCCACTCTGGGAACACAAACACACTGAATTATACATAACTGCCTATGCAAACTAAAAATTGTATGGACCCACAAAGAATGTAATTTGTCTTAGTTACACTGGAGAGGTTTGGCGTGATGGTGTTTGACATATACATATGACCATGTGTTCTGCTTTGAATTAACCTGTGGGTAAAGCATATGGTATGTGCTTTATGCATTGCCTGCAGAACCAGTTTCTCTGCAGGGCAGTTTTGAATATGTTAAAATCACCACGACTTCCTTATAACACAAAACAAACTCTTTAAACACCTCTTTTCAAACCTCATTTGCCTTTCAGTCGGTGGAACATCAACCTACATGACTCCCAAAGAGAGCTCTCTTCACACATTACCCAAATGAGTGGATATGAGCAGCCGGTGTTCTTGTATGGCCCTCTGCATGTGTACGCCTCTCACAGACTTAGATTGACACGCATCTTAATTAAACATTACACACGAACAATTTCAAGATGTATATGCAGGCAGACTGCACGCTTTAATTGGTACTTGTGTCGTGGAAATGGTGTGACATTAGCATACGCTGCAGTCGGCCCGTCAGGGTCAGAAAGAAGATAAGAGTAGAGCAGACAAGAAAGGATGAAAAAGCGAACTATGAGAAAATCACCTCCTTTCAAAAGAAAGAAATAGGAAGCAGGGGGAAACAGGTGGGGGCAATGCAGTGCTGGTGGAGGACAGTGGCTGATGGCTCGCTGTGGGGTAATGAAATGATAATAAGGGTGTTGACGGGCAAGTGGACAGCCATTGTGGCTCTCGTACTGGGAGTGATCATTGATTTTCTCCTCTGTTGACTGGGTTTTATTACTTTGTACCTCTGCCAGGTGATCTCTGCCTGGCACAACATCCTACCCGAAAAGGACTAACCTTACGCTTGACAGAGAAAAACATAACAAAAAACCCTGAAAGTAGTCACACATACAGACACAGTCTCACACAGACTCAGGTATTTTCAAGCTATCAGCGAATGGGTGAGAATTGGACAGAAGAGATCAAGGGAGAGGACAGTGGATGGACAGAGAGCCATATTGTAGCTTGATAGATGACGTGTTGATTTGCAGCAAGCGGGGGGGGGGGCTTTTTGTTCTATGTGAAGTGAGAGAAAATGAGAGGGACAGGGAAATGGGAGGCAAGGTACCGACAGGCGAGGATGGAAGTGGCAGACTGCGTGGGAGTGGAGCCCAGCATGAGGCTGTTGAGCCCGTCTGTCAGCTCTTACCTGGGTCAGCCAGACAGCCACGTCACAGACGCAAAAAAACACACACACACACACACATAAAGACATGCACACTTCTCTATATGGATCTACTGTGTCTTATTGGCACTACCAGGCAGTGGAATCAGCCAGACGGAGGGATACACCACACACTGTCAGTCAGTTTGATAGAAGGCCTGGCAGCAGCACACTGAGGCTGGCTGGCTGGCTGGGCTGCTGGAACACAGCTTTTATCACACTAATGCACTGATAATCTGTACACATGGCTAGGTTTTCTCTCACTGATACATTAATCTGTGGGTGTGAAGGACTTTACATCTGCCAACTGCATCTGTGAGTGTCTGGATTGGGCATTTGTGTGTGTGCATGTGTGCGTGCGTGGGTGCAAGTGCGTGTTTGTTCCATACCGAGGTCCATGTCGACAGCACGCGGCCGCTGAGAATAGGGCATGTTCTTGTAAACAGCATCAAGTATCTTCTCCTTCACTTGGGTGATGGTGTCACAGTTCAGCACCTTTACTGGAATCTCTGGACTGTTTTCATTGTCTGGGTTCACACAGTTTAGGATCTGGATTGTACAGATGGGGAGAAAAGGAGAGAGAATAAGACAAAAAAATCACAGAAGGAAATGAGAAAGCAGAGGAAGAGGGTAGAAGTGTCCTGTTACTGCCTGGTCTTGGGTCCAGCTTGGGGCTTCGCTCTCATTAGAGTCTCCTTGGAGCATGGCAGGAGCTTTGAGAAACCATTTCCGCTCTCACTGGCAACCCAAAATCTAATTTCACACCTTCGGCGGGACACCAATTTCCAGCTCTGCCGGGGTATTAGCACGTAATGAGCCAAATTCCCAGTCGGAGCAATCAGAGCATTGTCATGTCACATGCTGGCTGTGTGAGTGTTTTTTTCTGTGTGCGCAATGTGCGTATGTGTGTGTGTGTGTGTGTATAGGAGGCTGTTTGGTGTATTCCAATCTCCACAGCCACCTACCCTGATGTTGGACCAACACTGGAGCCTGTGGGATCATTAGTTAATTTTCTTCCCATACAAGAAGGAAGAAACCCAATCCAGCAGACACAGCTATGTCACTTTGAAAATGGTTTGTGGGGGGAAAAGTCAAAAAAGTTAAGTTAAGAAACTGTATTTGTACACGTAATTTTCCATTCAAAAAATGAGTGTGGGCTGTTGTGTGTCTCAGCTTGGCAGCATTTTGACTAGAAGCAAGCAGTTTTTGATTTAAGAGCTTCCTGTGGTTCTACCTATGTGTTTGTGTATGTCTGTAAAAAACTTCCTGTGTGCTTCCTGGAGTGTGACATACCAAGGTTTTGTACTCGATCTGCTGGCGGATGAGCTTGTCTTCACTAAGGGAGTAGCGGGCCTCTCCAGTGATGGCGTCGATGGGCCCCTTTTCCATCTGCTGCTTGATGGCGCAGTACAGCATGAACAGAGGCTCCCCAGCACACTCCTTTAAACACACACACAGCCAGACGATCCCGCAGATTCACACATGAGAGAACATCACAGCATAAACGTAAAAAGTCATTTGACTGCAAACACCTACAAATCCATGTACACTACAGTAAGTGTGCAATCACACTTTTAATTTAGAAACGCAACTGATAAGATAGATGTACTAACCTTGAGAAATTTGTGAAGGAGGAAGGCGAACCAGTTTGTAAGCATTTTCTCTGCAACTGACTCTGTTCTGAAATTACATAAAAAAACAGGAAAAACAAATTTGAACTCTATTTTCTTTCTCTTAATATTACAAAACCTTTAGATTTTCATAATTCATGAGGTTATGTGCAAGACATCAGGGAGGTTATCTTTGCATCCTGGGTGCATCCTACCGTTGGTTTCACTTGTGTACTGCCTGCAATACTGTGGTCACAGTGACTGAGCAGAACAGAGCAGAGCAGAGAGGTGGCATCTTTGTGTGCGTGGTATGTGTGTGTGCACATGTTAAAAAGAGTGTGTGTGATTGAGTATGTGAGTGTGAGTGAATACGTGCGTGTGTGTTACGTGTGCGTATTCACGTGTGGTTGAACACAGCGGGACATCAGCAGCTGTGACAAGCCTCAGCTGTTGAGAGAGACGAGTGCTGTCACAGCCAGGTAACGCCTGATCACAGCCAAAACGATCTCCTCTCCTCTCATTTCCTCTCTTCTTCCTCCCCTACCTCCAGTGCCTTCCCAGTCAATCACACATGGAGGTGAAGCTTGCTGCTGGGCTTGATTGGGCATGAAAACACACAAGTGTGCAATGACCTCTTGACTATTTCTACCACAGAGAACAGGAGAGGGCTGTGTGTACCTCTTTTATAATTCTTATTTTTTTTCAAATTCAAATGGCTTTCTTGGCTGTATATTTTGCCAAACGAGTAAGATATTGAAAAGCTGAACATTACTTAGAAAACATACTATAGCAAAGAAAGATACTACGAGACAAAACTAATAACTTGTCATCAAATATAATAGCAACAACGTGAGTTGGGTAACTGTCACTCTGTGTCCCTCTGTTTATGGCGGGCAGCAACATAGACTGCTGCTAACTCACAGCTCTTTGAGGCCTCCCTTAGTAGGACTTGTAAACCCAGTGTGTGGGATTAGTGGCACCTAGCGGTGAAGATTCAGATTGCAATCAACTGAAAACTGCTTGCATCTGTATTTGATGACCTGGGAATGAGAACGGTCTGTGAAGTGTATAGGAGGAACTTGCGAAAAACACAAAAGTCGAGTCAGCCAGTCTGGTTTGTCTGTTTTGGGTTACTGTAGAAACATGGCGATTCAACATGGCAGACTCCATGGAAGGCGATAGGCGGCAGGCTAACAAAAGTGCACATTTCCTATATTTAGGTGATGTTACACTATTGAAAACCAACCCATGGATATGATATTCAATTTCAATCCTTTTTTTAAATAGGCTTCTCCAAGATGCTTAGCTCTGTTTCAGGTTTGCTGAGGGTGCAATGATAACACAGTCTTTACTCTGCAGGGAGCCAGGTTTTCCTGTCCCTTTTTCATAGCAAGGCTGTGCTCACTCAGTCTGTACTTTGTTAAGGTAGTTGTTAATCAATCACCTCATGGACGGTTTGCCATCCATTTAGAGCCAGATAGCACTGCATTTTGCTCTGTGCTTTTGCCAAGTTTGTGCGTGCCAGTAGCTGATGTAATTTTGTTTTAACTGCTTTGTAATTTGATTGAGTCTGATTGGTGCTGTGTTCTGTTCCTGAGGTGTATTAATAGAGCAGGTTTGTGGACTGTCTCAGGATCAGTTGGGTAAGGGGTTCCTATTACTCCTCAGCTTTTGGCATTGAATGCCAGACAAACATCCCCCCTGCCTCATTAGCACCATCATGGAACACTAGAAAAACAGAAGTTAAAAAGACAGAATACCAAATAGCCAGGTGGGAATGGTTAACGAGCATGAAGCATAGATGAAAGGGTTAGTTCTGTGAGGCTCATGTGGACAGGCACCTGAGGTGAATAGCAACAACAAGCTCCCACCTCAACTTACTAAAACGCTTCTGCTCTGCTCTTTCTTCTTGTCGGGTTGACTACTACAGAATTATAAAGGCTGCCTGAAAGACACCAAAACCAAACAGCTTTGGATTGGAAACGGATTTTTCCTACCAGGCAGCTTTTGGTCCACACCCTTATCAGTGTCATTACTCCCGCTCGCTCTGACATAGCTACTACATACACTAATCATAAGTTAAGATGCCATGGTAAAGTGTCTCATAGACTGTTTGTGTGACAGCTTGTGACTGTCGCATGGCCGCGACTGATCTCTCTCTGTCAGCTTGTACATGAGCGTTCCCAATTTAAATGGCAATGCATTGAAAAAAATGACCCTCTTAATGTAGCAGGAAATTACTTTGATTACTCTGGTGTGCATGATGGAGGGGCCTTACAGTGCACGGTGCTGAACTGCGGATTAGCAGGAATCGAAGCAGCCAGGTATTAAAGACAAGCTAGAAGGCTTCCGTCTCCTCAGAGCTAAATAGTGCTTGGGATGATTATACCTATTCAGGCTCTGAATGGACCTAAAGGGAGATTATGACTATTATGGAGATAATTGCGTTAAGTCGTGTTTGAGGGCTATAAGCAAGAGTCTGGGACCGAAGAAGAAGTCCCAGAAGGCTTGTCTGAGCAATGGGAGGTTACAACAGCTAACATTTTAGTCACTGAGAAAAGAAAAAGTGTCAGTCATTCTCTCTGTCTCATTAAATTGAGACAGAGTGAGATTCGGTCTCTCTCTTTTTCTTTCACATGCAAATACATAACTTTTTCTGCTCCACTGTCCAGCACTGTAGTTGCAGGACAGTGGAGCGAAGGTTATATTTTGTTTTGAATGATGTGTGGCTGAGTTGTGATGTTGTCTCCCACGCCTGGAGGCTATTCCTCTGCGAACGAGACTGCTGGCCAGTCTACTGGCAGCTCGTTGAGAGGATGGAGAGCTGGGTGACAGCCTATTTGAAGTGCGATGTGCCAGCGGGAGGGAGCAGGGGGGTTTGTTGGGGGATGTAGATTAGTTCACCCAGTTTCAGCTACAGGATGAGTGAGTAAACATTGTTGAAAAGCTGAAAACTAAAGAAGTGCATGCTCGTGTGCATGTGTGCATCCACTCTGATGTCACACGCACAGTGATTCTATGATTCCCACCTCTTTGTCATTCTGACATATACAAACACACAGGTGAAGGTATAAGAAAGAAAGACACACATACAGTATTGACAAGCTCAACCTTGCAATGCTGCACAACAAAAAGTCTTCATTCGAAAACATAATAATGAGCCACTACGAGTGCCGGAGGCTGTATTTTCACGCTGAATAAACCTAAATATATTGTGGATTTCTTGGACAATACCCCAAATCCCTCAGTAATTGCCCTCCTTCCTCTACAAGAATTCACCTCTCTTTGCCCCCCCCCCACACACACACCTCCCTCTGATGCTTACTATTACACCCCTCCCAGCCTGTATGAGGCTTGAGTGTGTTAGAAGTTAATGGAACCTATTAAGCATTTTAATAAGCTCAGCAAGTCCCAAAGAAGGAAGTCAAATAAAGCCTTTTTTGTGGGGGCTGTGCTGACTCCCCCTTACTAAACTCCTTTTTAATGTCGGGTGGGGGAGGTGGGGGGGAGGCACACTTTGTTCTCCTCCTTCTCCTTTCCTCCTTGTCCTCCTCCTCATCTGCCTACACTTCCGTCTTTCTATTAATTGAGTTTCATTAATGAACATCAGGATTTCATTATCCCACATAGTGTTTAAGAGGGGCTTCGCATCCCCCTCATCTCCGTTCTCCTAATGGCAGCTAGGGTGGAGGGGGGGGGGGGCTATATTAGCAGGCAGTGGAATGTCTTTCAATGAGACTAATGCCAAACACAATACTCGCTCTCTTAATAACTCTGTACTCCATTGCTCTGCATGGGCGGAAATCTCATTACAAAAATGCTGAGGAGAAAAATAATACAAGATTGAAAAGTCTCAAGGTGATAGACGCAATGTTCTGTGATTCCATTAAAAGAACATTACAAAGAAGAGAACGAAACTGGGTGAAGAGAGTGGCAACTTAAGAAGAAGATTGAGAGAATAGAGAATAGAGTTTAATGTGTTAAAGAAGTGTCTGGCTAGTCTATAATGTTCTGGTGGGGGTCACTGTACACCAGAGGAGCTACAGTAATAATGGACAAGCAGAAAGAGAGGTTAATGCTGTAAAATAACAAAAGACGTGTGGACTCTATTATTCGGAGTGTTGGGATAAGCACTAGAGAGGTAAAACACAGAGAGAAAGCGAGTGCAAGAACATATTTCACTAATGTAGCAAAATACAATCCAAACACCATGAGGTGCTGCATCAGTTCCACTTAGCGCACCGGAGGGTGAGGAAATCAAACACATTGTCAAAGCTTAGATATTGCTTTCAAAAAGCTTTTAGGAGAATGTAAGTGTCTGTGAGCTAAAATCTTTCCCCATCAAGACAAAGAAGGCGAAGGCATCTCAAATCTTTAAATACCAAAGAGACCAGAGTTTCTTTGAAAAACACGCCACGGAAGAGCATGAGTGCACCCTTCAAACGTAATTCCAGGAACTTAACTGACTGGGGATATTATATTTCTGCTACATAAATGCAAGATACTGTACACGTTATAATTTGTTTTCGTTGGACTGATGTGATGGATGGTGAAATGGAATCTAGCACTGAGCATAATAGGAAAAAGAGTGTTTGCCAGAGAATAACTACAGCATGACGTATACAAACTGCCCTCTGGCATTCAAACACATTTTACTCAGCCAATGATATGAGCCAATGCATTTGTTGTATTCTTGCCAACTATTATGCGGTTAACTACTTCCTCAAATAAATGACAATGATTTGTTTTCCATCCTGCTTAATCTGCCAATAGGCTTTTCAAATGTATTCGGTTTCATTCTACAATATACCATTTTAGCCCATTCAACTCCGTTCAGGAAATTCAAATGAATGGAAATTTCATGAAGCATTCAAGTGAAATGCATATTTATGACCTATGGTAAGAATATTAGGTGCTACAAAGTCAAATATACTGTCAGCAAATATACCAATCGGATGTTGGCAGACATTTAACATAAGTGAAGAAGAGGGATGTTGTTTTAACAGCCATTTTATCCAATCTACCTTTAGCCCCGCAAACTAGGTGAGAGAGCCACATTACTCATTGCTTTGTTATCAAAAATCTGAAATTATTATAGCCATATCTATAGTTAGGACTCTATATTAAGCTAAGAGTGTAGTGACTGCAGACTGATATAACTTAATCTAATATTATCCTTCCCAATAAAGTATAGATAGTACATCAGCAATTAAACACTCAAATATGAAAAAAAATGCTATCAGGAGATAATCTTCCTATGTGAGAGACAGAGTATTTGTGAGAGGAATGCAGAAAAAAGGTGTGTTGAAGGCATACAAAGCTGGTGAGAGGCCGTTGGGGATGCGGTGTTAATGTTAATGAGACAACTAGTTTACATGCAGCATCTTCGCTGTGCTGCCCACGTAACTTGGAAGTATGTCTGTGGAAAGCATTTAGAAGCTCCGTTTAATTTGCTGAATTAATATGTTTATTAGTTGTTTAACTCTAATTCCATTGTTGACTCCCACTACTCCATTGCTCTTCCACATTTTCAACCTTTCCCCTCATTTGCACTTCCCTTTCCCTCTGTGCCGTGGCTAGTGATGGCATGGCTCAATACTTAAGGGTGCCTTACTTTGCTGGATCAACCACATTGTACCATTGTATTGCTTCTGTGTCCTTCTGCACCCTGTGCTCATACTGTACCTACACTCGCTTATATGAACTTACACTACTTGGAATACTTTTTATTGTAAAGCTTTAAAGCTGTAGCATTTTGTCAAGCCTTGCACCAAAATGCCATAGAAATCCATTGTTGAACTGTTGACCATTGTGCACCTGATCTGTGACTAAAAGTAGTCCCTAAACTGTAAACCCATTACTGTGAGTAATGCTTGCTAAAAACTATAGTGCCCAGCAGTTCATGGAGGTTACTTAGTCTTTTTTTTTTAATGATTCTACATTTACATCTTCAGTAAGAACAAATGTTTTTGTTCCACAGACAGGCTGGGGAGGTTGGAAAATACTGACAGACAAACTAATACTAATACTGTTGGTTTTGCACTTTTCATGGCTTTTGTTGACAATAACAAAATTATAGAATATTGCCAGCCTTATCTTTTAATAGACAACCATTTGGATTCATTGTACACATTAAAATTTGATTGCTATTGCAGGACACTGAGGGAACATAAGGATTAACGTGCTAAAACACCATGACCGATGGATATATTTTTGTGTCTTCATCTGCAATGCTTCTATGATTATGGTTTTCTCTTAAAAGGTCGAGCATGCTAGCTTGTGGACATATTCCCCTCTAGAGAAAAGCATTCAATGACAGCTGAGTGAAGCGAGAGGAGCAAAGCTCTTTGGTACGACTCGAATATGTCTTAGGATGCACTTTCAACCCACTGTAATATAAATGAGAACAGGAAGTAGGTTGGGTGACCTGGAGGTTCTTCCTGTAGCCATGTAAACTTGGTCAAGGGACTGGAAGCTCACTAATAATTAATTTAGAACAACATTCAGAGTGACCCCTATTTCTACTAATCTAATGAAAGCACACTGGATTTCAATATAGGCAACACAGCTGTATTCATTGCACCAGTGCATATGGATACAAACACATGCAAACCGATACCATAAAAAGCACAAAGATCTGTTTACATGCTGCTAATTCATTAATACGGGAAAACAGAGGGGTGTCCTAGCCAACATAATAGCAAGCATTTCACTATCCTATTATATATGATAATAGACTGAGGAGAGCCGACAGAAAAGACAATTCAACGCGAAAATGGCAACAAAGCACAGCCCAGCAGCCTCATTCTACCCCCCGGCACAAATACAATTACTACTTAGAGACGTGCTCAATTTGACTATCATCACAGACATGTGTATGTGTGTGTGTGTGTGTGTTTGTGTGTTTGTTGTGAGTCAGCTGGCTGGCTTGACTGTCGGCTTTTCTCTAAATAGGCGATGAGGAAGACAACAACAGCAAAGAACCATGTCAAATCGATAATCCCTTAAATTCTTCTGAAAATGGGGATGGAAATGTTAAAACTATAGGACATTTAGCCCTCAAGGCTGCAACGGCAGGACCCAAGGATTACGTACCACTGTGTTCCTAATAAGAGAGGATAATGAAAACTTAGAGGTGATGTGGGGCCCTGCTGTCATGTGAAATAACAGCTTAATCCAGGTCCATTTGATGCTGTGTCACTTAATTTCTCTGTCTTTCAGTGCCTCTCTCTGTTTGCCTCTATGTCCAGCCTTTCCTTTCAGTTATTTACTCACTATTAATGTGGATTTTTTAAATAGAGATAATGGGAGGGAGGGCAGTAGTGTTTAGCGAGGAGGTTCTGCCTTTCTGTGTGAAGTTTAATCTTATGTTCTCTCCGTGCCGGTCAGTTTTCTCCGGGAACTTTATCAGAATGAAAGTGTTGTTTGAAAGTGTAGCAGCTACCTGCTCTCATTGTGTCTGCTTATTAATCATGTAAATATAATCAAAATCATGCACAGAGCAGTCAAGCTTTCAGAAAGCCTGTTCACACAACTGTGCTTTGTACATTCTGTATCTTTTCAGCTGAATATTGTTTGTCAGCCCTTTAACCCGTTTCAATACCTACAGAGCCACCAAAGCAGCTGAGGACACTTGGGCAAGGACTTAGCAGGTGTTTAAAGTTTTAGCACATCATCCCAACTCCCCCGGAAAACAATGTACACTGGAGACACAGAGAGAGGAAGAAAATAGTTAAGTTGAACCACTTCTGAATGTTTTATAAAGGAGCCCGAGCCTAGAGGATAAGTGAGACTGACATTGGCATTGAGAGAAACCAGGGGACAGACAAAGTGTGAGGGAGAATACGGAATTATGCATAGAATTCAGAGGTTACTCATGATGTGAATGAGTGCATGGCGTTTATGTCGGCATACTGTAGATGTACTGTAGATGCACTCATTTCAAGCCTTATTCTGTGAAGCATCTACATGGGAACACAGGGGGAAATGAGAATGCATCCACCCACAGTAAAATAGGGATGAACATACAGCCACCATCTATCCCCATTCAGCAGTTTATAACGTCTTCCTACAGCCTTGCGCTTCTTTACATGTTTTTAAATGAGGATTGTGTTTAAAGTATGCGCATAACTATCCTCTGGGCACAGGATCACATATAAACGCATATGCAGCAATATAATGTATTTTCGACTGAAATTAATCAAGTCAAACAACTGAAACGGTGTTGTAGATCATACACTGTTACTGAGGATTAAGAGATTTCTTCTAATATTGCAATACCTATGTATAATTTGTTTGTTTACTTTATGTTAATTCATTTGTCTTTCTTCTTTTTAATAAATTCAATGTCAAAAAAGGAACATTAACGTCAATCTAATTTAATTTAAAATAAAGTTAATACCAAGTTTTCCTTTGTTGCCTGTTTGCTATAAAAAGCTTTTTGGGTGATATTTTCTTTAAATCTAATTCAAGTTTAATTAAAAAGTCCTCATATTAGTATTTATCACCATGTTTGTTTTTTTTACGTGTGCTGTGTTACCTGCGCAGCAGCAGTTTGGGATGGTTCTTGCTCTCCAGGTTGCGGTCGATGAGGTCCGACAGCAGGTGCTTTAGGACGTCGGTGGCGTACTCCAATCGCCCTTGCAGGGCTGTCATGATAAGTGAGGCCACGTTGCCGCGGTCCCTCATGGAGAAAGAGCGCTGCATTTCCAGTGTTCGGATGAAGGTGAGCAAGAACACTTTGTTGTTGATGAGCTGGCCAAACAGCTTTAGGGCCTTCTCCACATTCTGCTGGCCATTCCCTGACACCTGGACAGAAGAGGGAGGGAGACCAGTGCATATTAGTGCTAATACATTTCTAGGACTAATTTTAATAATAAATGTCCAGTAATAATTTGCTAATTTACTCATAATACTATATGTTCTGTATTTGAGGTGCTGTGTCTCCTCTTGGCAGGAGACACCCACTTTTGACACGTATTTTCTTATTAAACCTGCCCAGTTAGGCAAACCAAGGATGCTTGGTTACAATAGTGATGAGCTGAATGAGTTTTGAAAAGCATAGCTGCTCTTTAACTTTCATCTTGACCTTGTCTCACACAAAATAAAGATTTTTCCAAAGGCACCAAAAGCCTCACTCATGTTTCACTCCAGGCAGACAAAAGTTCCCACTCATGGTGAGTAACTGAGAAGATCTTAATCAATTATTGACCCGGGTCTGTTAAAAAGCATTGTACTCTGAGTTAGCTGCCATTTCACTTTCAAGTCAAATGTCAAATAACTTGCCTGGGTAAGACAATCTCAAAGTGACAAAACTCACTTTCTTTGGATTTGTTTGAGAACACGTCACTGTTTTTCAAAAGTTTGGAAATCCAGTTTGCGGCCTTTTGATAGAAAATCTTGTCACACAAAATGTCTAGCTTATGCAGCTTACTGAACATCAACAGACATTGCATTTGACCTCTACCACACAGGGCTAGTCTGATCTGAACCACAACCCCTCTACCTAAGCTGGTAAACCAATCCCATCCTATATCACACACAATCTACAAATAAAGTGGTGGACCTTTATCGTGACGAATCTCTTTATGCCTGATAGTTTCATCCTCTGGGCTCCACTCTGTGTTCCACCTAAAATAAACTCATTCTCCAGCACAACTCTGGCCCCATGAAGAGGAGTGAAAAGTGTTAACCAGCCAGTTTTTCCCCCAGTGGAGGAACCCACAGTCCTGCTTGAGGATTGGGAATTACTCAGTTCATTACCCCTCATACTGCAGCCACTGGTGGATGAAATAGCCATGTGCTGGGACCCTGTTTTCCATGAGGGATCTTGCATTTGAGGCGTATATACGTGTGTGTATGCTGCTCAGCATGAATGGCTATATGTGTGTACGTGTGTGAGACCAGAGGGTAGAAAGGGTAAGTGGCATACTGGTATCCTTTCCCCCTCAAGCACTTTGCCGCTTATGGAGGTTACCCTGCAGGGAGAGTGGCAAGGGCAGGCACAGTCTCTCCCTATATCTCTCTCTTTTTTCTCCCTTTTTTCTCCCTTTTTGACTTTCTCGTGCCCTTTCTCATTGCATTTGCTGCTTCTATGTCTCAGTCATCTCCTCCCCAATCTCTCTCTTTCTGGCTCTCTGTCTTTCTCTTGTTACCTCCAACTCTCTGAGGACAGGATGATCCTCTATGCCAGGGAAAAGGACCCTCATAGCGTATGTCCTGTAGTCCAAATGCGGGATACCAGCTCTGTCCAGGTCACTGGTCAGCTCATTGATGTCGGTCTGCAGCTCGGCAAAGGCTGGGAGAGAAGGAAGACAAGAAAGAGAGAGCAGTTGGAGGGAATACTTGAGGAGACATGCTGCATAAAAGTAAAACCGTTCTCCCCAAGGACCAAACACATGAATCCTTCTCATCTTCATGGTATTTACTAACGTTATGATGAAGCTGACAGTTAAAGCCGAAGATAGTCTTCATGTCAGAGAAACTCAATATTTCACATCTTTCCCTGAAAAAACACAGACCTCTCGCTCTCTCTCTCTCTCCCTCTCTCTCACACACACATCTCTTTCTCACTCATTTTTATCTACCAGGCAGTAAATTGGCTGTAGCTAAGGCCCCAAAGAGTGTGTGTCATGTCAATGTGAGGCTGCAGGTGAGCACTAGTTAATTGGCTCCATCCTGACTGACTCCTGTTCAGGCCCACGGCTCTGTCGAACTGCTTCGCCGCCCTAGGGGAGGCTCCCTGTCTGCAGCCTATCACAGGAGCAGCAGCAGTCCCCCAACACCTTCCTCAAAACTCCGCCATCTCCAACCAGTCTAAGCCCTCACCTCCTGGCCCCTGGCCCCCTGTGACTCCTGGGTTTACACACCAACACATGGGCTCACAGGCACACATGGAGTGTATATACTCATAAGGAAGAACCCAGGTACCCATCTAAATCCATCCTGCAGGGCGGCACACTCCTGGCCACTGCTAATGGTTAAAACATTAATCTTCTCCTTTCCCAAAGCTGCCTGTGTGTGACTGATTCCCCCTGTTTGCCTGCTCTGTCTATCTGCCTGCCTGTCTGTCTATCTGTCATTTGACCATTCTGGAAGTTTGCTGCAATAGGATGTTTTTTTTTCACTGCATGATAACACCGGGAGAGACGATCAGGGTTGGCTGGAGGGGATAAATAATAAGGTCCTCTACGGCTGATGAAATCCCCTGCACACTGTCATAATAAGCCTCACTTTTGCCATCTCAGTGATTGGCTATAATGACCCCGATGATGACATCTGGGGCCAATCAGCACTGCTTATTTGTAAGGATTCATATAAGACTCAATGTTGCAAAACAGAGCTGCTGTTTGGAGTGGTAGCTGGAGGTCAGCCTGAAGTTATCTGTGGTCCTCCCACTGGGCAGAATGTCAAAGGTCAAATGGACTACTGCGCCCTCTGTTAACCCTAAATCACAAGGGAGGAGTGTGTTTCAAAGCAGCTGTGTGTTCAGTACTGTTTCAGTGACATTGACTGCAGGATGCATGCAAACTTAACTAGATGCAGGTATAAAGTCACACACATTGCATAAAAAGATAAACGTGGAATTACCCTTACAGTTAGGACTAGAATAAAATGTAACATGCATAATGTGTCTCTCTCTGGGAGGAGGTTGAGGTTACTCTAATGAGAAACTCTGTATGTATGTGTCAGCTTGTGTGCGAGTCTGTATCTAGCATGCAAACTAGAAAGCAGTAAGAACTGAAAGGACTCAATTCATGACAAGACAGGTCACTTGCAGGGTAAACTGACTCAATCCATCTGTTGTAATATATAACCAGGATGATTCACTGACCCAGATTTAGAAAATTTCACTGCATTATTTAACACACACAGAATAACACCAGTAATTTACTTACTGTACTATATCTGCAAATATGCATTTGTGCCTGTTATGTGATTACAGTCTATCAAAGTTAAATGCATTCACCAGCCCTATTCAACTACATGAGTGATAGAACAGCTTGTAAAATTACTGGCTGTAAATGGGATATTCCAAGCAAAGTAGACCCATAATCACCCTCACTCTGCAATTTGAAGTCTAACAATAGGCTGCTACACAGTGCTGCACTTGGTCTGCTGACCATACTTTTCTAATACTAACCTTCTTTGCACTCGAGGGCAACTCGTGACTCCAGGTTGTCCATTTGCATCTGCAAGCGCTTCAGGGTGAGGTCATTTTCACGTGACTTTCGCTTGTAGGCAATGAGGACGAGGATGACAATGATGAGGAGGAGGCCTCCACCAGCAGCGATGCTGACGATGGCTGGCAGGGTCAACAGGCTGTCAGACATGATGTGGACCGCACCAGGGGAGACATGGAGACCACCTACCTGGACCTGTGGAGAGACACAAGCGCACATAGTCACAATTAATCTTAAATCAGTGCAGTTTAATAGATTCTTAAAGCAAACACAAGGACAACGCATCATTTCCTAATGTTTCAACAGAGACCAATCACTGGTCTTGAGATCTATATCACATGATAACTGATACACAGTAATGCATAAGCCAAGTCTCAGAAATCCTGCAAAACCGTAGGTAAATATTGTCTGCTGAAATTGATACTGAGTGCAAACACATGCGGCCACCTGCACGCTGACGCTGAGAGGGAAATAGTCCGGGGCTTGCACTCAATAAGCGAGCAGGCAACTAAAAATAATTGCAGTGGATTCTGGCAGAACCTTTTGACAGCTAGAGCACACTCATGCTGCTCTCCCTTTGACCTATTTCCTTCAGCTGAATGAACAATGATGAGAGCACGAATAATGGAGTTTAGAGGCCAACTATTATGAAGACGAAATCACAAATATGGGGATAGACGGACACAGAGTGAGAGAGAAAGTTAGGAAGACAGACACCAACAAACACACAAACACAGACAGACCATTACCCATACTGACCATGACTTTGTATTGTCCGGTGAGGTTGGGTGGCTCACATAGCAGCTGGCTCTCAGACACAGTCACAGAGCAGGGAGTCTCTCCTATCAGCACAGTATAGTTAAGCTTCACCCCACCTGACGCTGGTGGAACCAGGTTTCTGCCCTGTGGGCACGTGGAGATGGACAGCAGGGTGCAATATTAGGAGAAAAACTCGGACACACAAACACATGGCTCAATGAAGATCAGACAATTTTACAAACCCACAAAGCCAATATGTCCCCTAAATACGCTGTAAATTAGATCCTTAGATTTGGCCCCAGCTGCAGCCAAATGTGACTCCATACTGAGATCAAACAAGTCAGTATCACAGTGGCAGTAAGTGGGAACAGCTGGCAACCAGGACAAAATGTCAATGTCTTTCAGTTACCAAACGTCTTCAAACCAAACAAAAAAGATAAATTATATATATTTAGTTGATTTTGAAGTAACAATGATTGAGCAATAAGAGGAGTCAGTCTCTTGCTCAAATACACTATAATAAGTCTGTTGAGGATGTTGAACCAGTAAATAAAAGACTTAAATGGATACAGATCTATATTTCTTGTACCTTGAGAATGATGGGTGAGCCTGGTTTTTGCTCCAGGACACCAGTGGTGCTGAGGGGCTCAAAGTAAGGGTTTGGGTAATAGAGGAGGTTGGTGTTGTTGTACACCAGCAGCGCCTGGACGTTGTTGAAGATGAAACCAAACTCGTCTGCGTGCTTTACTGTGTCCAGACCTGGAAGGTACTCTGCTATCAGGGATGGAGCGAAGCAGCTCATACTAGTGGTGTTCAACACTTTACACACCTAGGGAGGATGAATAAAGACAGGAGAAAAAAAGTGTTTTGAGATGCTTTTGGGGATGGGTTGCACTCTACACATCATGCTATGATAGCCTGAGCACCCTGAAATGAAACAAGAAATGTGGTTCAGTCATCCAGGATAAACATAGACAGTTCAGCACAGCTGAGACGTTTGGTTTTCTTTTTTTCTGTCTCCAAAATAAAAACACACGCAACACAAATGTTTCAAGCTGTTCTGTTGTAAAACCCTGGTTTGTTATAAGTGTGATCTTAACTGAAACACATTGATGTCAACATAGAGCCTGCAGTGAGCTCTGCAGCCTAATAATTGGTATATAAAATCCTCATTCTTTTCAGAGAAACAGATTTATTGTCTGTCATTAAATCCATCTTTATTGGAGAGGAAGCCTCCATAAAATCGAAAATAAATTGCTGCTACTGCTTTGCTGAAAAACACTGGAGGACAACAACCACAAAGAATGGAGGCAATGCTCCTCTATCTCCTCAGGTAGAGGTTGAGCTATGGCTCTTTTATTACTTCTCTCCAGTTTTCCCAGATGAGAGACCTATCTTCCATCCATCCTACCCGGCTCAGCTCTAGAGGGAAGGGGAGAAAGGATTTATTGCTGCACAGCACTCTGCTCAGAGAGGTTTTTATCTCCTTTCACTCCCTCCCAGCTCTCTCTCTGGGGGAGAAACTTAATTAGAGGTAAATATCATCAAAGCTTGTGAACGCGAGCGACTACCACGCCTCCTACCTGTTGTCTGCTGCTCGGGAGCTAGGGAGATCGATGCAAACTCATTCTGTGTAGGCTACACCAATTGTATTTTGCCAGCATGGTGCAAGGTGAGTTGTGTGGAGGAGTGTGATGGTAGAGGTGGAAGGAAGGACTGGTCTCCATATTTACTTTGTTCTTAGATATACTAGACTATAGAGTGTTTGTGGGTTTTCATCTTGTAGAGCATCGAATCTGAATGTGAACAGAAATTCTTACTTATACTTGGGTATACTTTAGGCTGTTTATGATTATTTCAATAAGCAATTAATCTGTTGATTATTACTAACTAACAAAATCTAGGCTTTTGGGGGAATGAAACACAATTTAACGTTAACACTGTCACATCAACATACACAGCAAAACAGCTCTACCAGTCTGTAGCTGCACTACAAGGCCTGAATGCTCTGTACTAACTTCCCCTAGTCTTGTGACATTCTTCTTTAGAATTCCCACTTTACAAGCTACAGTAGCAGCGCATGTCAAGAGCTAGAGGATAAGCCCTTTTAAAAATAGATAGCACAACCGGATAGAACTCCTGACACACTTTCACCAAGTTTAGGTTCTGCGAATGCATGGGCGTCACTTCACTGTAAGCCAGAGGTGACTAACAGAATTTGAACAGTGTTGTTCTAAAAATTGAATACCCATTTACATATATAAAACCCTACATACTCATAACACAATAACTAGTAAAACAATGCATAACATTGTTGTTCACAGTATAACATGGATGCTTTGTAGAAAAGATAATGAATGAATAATTAATGAATGAATAATGCTTCTCATAATGTATGTACAGCAATTACAAGAACAACTCATATGATTTTTTTTACCCACTCATCCAGTTTGTTCTCCAGCTCCGTACATGGGAATTAAAAGGTTTAATGGATAAAAGAGTTCAAGTTAAGTTTGATATGAGCGGCTGTCTTACTGTTGGCATGGTGACATGTTATATAGACAGGCCCAGATGCTCCGGCAGCATCCTCGTGACTGTCACGTTGGAACAGCGAGGCATTTGCAAGTCAACTACAGCTCTGACTACCATCTGCTCTGCCAGGGATGGACACAGTAGGGTTTTTTTTCTCTACACTGTCCTCACTTTCTCTCTTCTTAACTCTCCCTTTTTTCTTAGATAAATCCTTTCCTTTGCTGAATCCTGTCAGGATAAAAAAAACTACTGCTATCACATAGGATATTTTTCAGGCTGAGTGTGACGTGTGTAAATCCAAAGCGATGAGCGAGTAAATAGTGATGGGGAAATGGGCCGTTGTGAGATTTGATAAGGAAAATGGGATATTTGGGTTCTTCTGTAGGTGGGGCAATAAATGGCTGTATTAAAAAAAAAATTACACCTTTGCATGACTTCCTTCCAATAGATGGATATTATTAGTGTATGGTACATTCTGTTTATACTACAAAAGGATTTATTAGGCTTACTGGATTTCCAAATTCTCTTATATAAAATACTGAAACACAATTTGCTACCAATCCATCTCTCAGCAGAATGCTACAATATACAGTCATGACATAATACTGCTTCGTTTCCAAACATGTATTTTTTCTCTCTATCTCTAGCACATCACAATAAAAACAAAATTCTGTATATTGCCAAATATACAGAGTATACAATAGTACACCCAGTCCTTTAGGCCATGTGGGGAAAGAAGCTACACATTGTTCAGCATTGATAAAGTGAATTGAGGTCAACAGATAGAGAAAATAATTGGAATCTTGGCCTCATCTGTCTTCTTTCTCTAGTGTTGGACAGAGCCAGGGTGTTTTAAGGCAGTAACACTCCAACCCCTCTGGCTGAATACATTACCATGATCTACTGTGCTGCTACAGCCCACTCAACCATTCAAAGGTCTCTGGCCAGGGAAGTAGTGAGAGAGACAGAGGGAGAGGGTGCGAGAGAAATAAAGCTTAGGATAGACTGGCTGCGGCGATGTGCGTAGGAGAAATGCGAAGGGTCACAGTGTCAAAGGTCATCCGGAGGCTAACATTCGACAGCTAGTCACTGTTAGTGCACTTTGTTACTCCTACACTGTGTCTATTTTCCTGCCTGCCTGCTCTTCCAACCAACTGCCAATACTGGCATTAATTCTACCTTCAGCTCTGATCCGTCCATGAAGGATCTGTGTGGTATTTAAGGTTGCGCAAAGCCAGAGCTAGTAGTCATTTTCCAGATGTGTGCCACCCTGGAAGTGAGAAATCATGGCTATGGTTGCCTCTGTGATGAGGGTGTGACTAATTTCAAATATCTTCTGTAAGCACTGCTTCATGCATTTAAAAGTGTCTTTTTTCTTTTAAAATTAATATCGTAGCCACACAACAGAGATGTCAAAGGGCGAACAGAGGTGCATCTCTAGACTGTGGTCACTCAAGATGTCATGATGATTCAATGAGCCTCTCGTGATGCTGATACAGTTGAGATGTCTGGCATTGTAAGACACATGCATACAGCTTAGAATACAAAATCATTATGAACATGTAAACTGTAAGTTCTGAGTGCCCATTATCATTGCTGCTCAGTGTACCAGACAATCAGCATGATTGGCCTAGGCGTGATAGGAGCCTGGCACACCCATGCTGAACAATTTCTGTGATCTGCAGCAGCTGAAAATGCACCTGATGTGCCAAGCCTGACACTCAGTCCAGGCGTCTTAAGTGTGGCAAATGTGGTAGATGAAATCTTTCTGGGACAGGGAAATGTTCTGGAGCTAGAAAATAACCCCCTTTAGCTTTAATCAAGATTATGATAAATGTTTCAGTTGTGAATCTGGTGACAGATACAGAGCATTTCACAAAGAAAATTGTCCTTTTTTTCTCTCCCGGTTTCTTTGTAAATCTGTGCAGGTGACACAAGGGAGGGAGAGAAGAGAAGCAATTTAGTGTGAGACAGGTGATCATTTGAAGGCTGTCTGACAGACAGCAGCTCTTATTGCTATAGGCTGCTCTGCTGTTTGCCTTCCTCCAGTGACAAAAGGGGAAAGGGGTAGACGGGGGGAGATGGGATGAAGGACGGGTAATTGTAACCTTAGCATTTAATAGAAATTCATTCTCTGTGGCTGTGGGGCCAATCAAGACGGTGACACAGGCTTCTTTTGCAAGGCGGTGGGAAGAGATGAGGCAGGGTGGAGATGAACAACTCTCTTTCAAAGCCTTGGAAACTGACAAATCAGACAGTACAGCACCCACACACATGAGTCAAATCCCATTTCGCCAGGTCTCCAGGAGTCTCTCACTCATCAAGTGTTTTTTTCTCTTCTCTAAACATGAAACAGCACAGATCTGTCTTTTACTTGTAATTACTAGGGATTCATAACTCACAAAGGTCTTTGAGGGAAACTGTCTCCTTACGTAAGGCAACACTGCAGCACAAAAAAGCCCAAGGCAGAGTTATGATTTTTAGTAAAGGAACATTCACTGAGCTAGTCAGACACTTAAGGCCAATTTTAGACTACTAATGTCAGTGACAGGAAGTTGGAATTGCAGAGGGGGAGGAGGCATGTTGAGACAAATCTATGTAGACTCCATGCAGCATTGAGGAGGTTTTTGATGATGTAAATGAGGCATGAGATTTACCTGGCTATGTATGCAAGATTGTAATGTGTGAGACTGATTACAGTATCAACTTGTGTGTTTCTCAGTTTTTATGGTACAGTAAACATCTGCATGTAGCAAATGAATGAGTGTGCATGTGCAGTTTGTATTTGTCAAGTTACCTGATGTATGTCTGCAAAATAGAGTCCTTACATTACATTAGAGCCATACATTAAAGCAGTGGTTCACAGTTGGAGGTCAGAACCCCCACACAGGGTCATTAGATAATATAAATAATTTGAAAATGTTTTACTTTTTTAGACTTTTCTCTAATTTTTATTTTTATTTTCTGCAATACTGTACAGCGTTACCTCTTCAGTCCTATTATATATTATTTGAAAACTGCATAAAGCTGATGCCTACAAAAATAATAAAAGAAAAATAATTGGGAACTATTCTATTAAAACTTGTTATTGTATTGTGTTAGTACAATGTACAGTGGGCACTATTCTTTTACCTATTCTCTTCCCCAACCCCTCTCACTCTCCACCCTTCCTACTGCCCTTTAGTCCATTTGTCTGATCTCCCCACCTTTCCCCAGACCATGGAGAGGAAATCCCATCCTCTTAATTAAACAAGGAGCCCCAGGACAGGGGCTCAAATGCGATTTGTAACGATTTCCCACAGCCAAGGCTTTGATTATACATGGGCTCTTTATGCTGACCAAAGACTTCTGACCACAGTTAATCTTTCATTGAAACCCATTAGGAGTCTTCTTGCCCCTGATCATGCACACCTCCAACATTCCCCCCACTGACCCACCCACACCCATTTCAATCTCAAACACCTCTAGCCAGCTCCATTACAGCAAAAATATCTAATATATATATTTTTCCTCAGACAAGTTGCTGTTCAGGATGACTAGTGTGACAGTAAAACACAACAGGGCTTGGCAGGTGGGGGGTGGGGGTTGGATCTGAGATTTAGCCAAGAGAAAATTTAGGGTAAACTCTAAATTAAATACTGCATGCAGACCACTCTCACTGCCAGCTGCATTACTCAGATGCTCATTGGAATGCTTGAGACAACTGGGTTCAAGCAGAAGTTAGAAAGGCATTGAAAACTAGAGGGTCTTTGAGGAGAAATAGTACCTTTTTTAACTTAAGGTAAATATCACTTTGCTTGCTTGTATAGCGGTATTTGGTGAGTCAAGCAGGACCTAGTTAGCGTACATTTGTTAGTGTGTGTGTGTGTGTGTGTGTGTGTGTAGTACATGTATTCAGGGAGTGTACCAACTCTATGGTTACGACAATATAGTGATTCTTACATTGACAGACTCTCTGCCAGCGTATTTGACTCGGATCCTGGGCTCCTGAACCACGTCCAGATTGGTCCCTGTCACCATCAGGGGGGTATGGCCACTGAGTAAAAACACAAGTAGACAAAATTTATTCCACAGGTTTAAATAAATAATCATTATTTGTAAGAGAGAAAAGAAACAAAGTAGTTCAAAGGCAATTCTAGACCAAACTTTCTAACCCCGATGTACCTCTTCAGAATATTCACCATCAGTCAAAAATAAGCGCATCAAACCGACTTTCATCCTCAGTTTCTTTTGGGAGATAATAGCCTTTGGAGTGGAGGATGATTAGAAATGCTTTTTAACTGACTTCACTTGCTACAATCAGCTGGTGCAGATTTGGGTTTGAAATACCAAGGCAGCTCAAGCGCATAAGGATGCACTGGTGGTCCTGAGCATCATAACACAGCAGCACAAACAAAGCACACCAAACAAAGCAGGGGGGGAAACTGCTGGATATGCGTGGGTCTCCCTGCAGCTGTTTGGGTTGTTGTTGATGTTTGTTGCTTTTGTTGTTGCGCTCATCAATGTGGCGTGCTGAATAAATGTGCCAGGCAGGAGTTGTTGCAATTAGAAATGTCAGATGGGTCTGTGCTATTAGGCTGTGGGTTCAGTTTAACACTCTATCTATCTATCTATCTATCTATCTATCTATCTATCTATCTATCTATCTATCTATCTATCTATCTATCTATCTATCTGTTTAGCTATCCCTCACTCCCCACCCTGTTCCCTCTGTGCCATCATACTTCTGCTGCAGTGTCCCTTACACTCGGTCTCTAAGCCCAAGCCATCTGCTGTGGACTCGCACCTCTGATAGCACATTGTTCTACAAAGCCTGTATTTCATTTTCATCCCTCTCTTCCTTTTAATTAGTAGTGTATAGTGCATGTGTATCTATCTGCCAAAGACCCTCAACAGATGGATCAACATTGATTTCAATAGGAGAATCTCAGTCTTAACAGTGTCTGTGCTCTCCAATCTGTGAGCTGTGGCACTTCTATCAGATCCAGACTAATTGGAAGAGAACCGAACAGTAATTGAAAGTGCAATATTGACTCGTGTCTGCTTATTGCCACTGGCCAGCACGGGCTGGCTCTAAATCCTTAGTCTGGGTGACAGAGACTCAGAATTGGCTGGTGAGGATGTGGATAAAATAACATGGTGCAATAGGCATTCTATAAGATAAGTGGTATGACTTTACCTTGCAATGCTCCAGTCTGGTTCAATGCGCTGGACAGTGGGGTCTTCTATGTACTCAAATGTGAGGCTCTCCCGGATTTGGGCATGGTCAACGCTCACACTGATCTGCACTGGGCCGACTCCAGACAGGGAAGGGGCGGAGTAGCACACGATCTCTGTCATGGTCCGTCTACAAGTGGAACATAATCGGAATTTTAAAAATCTGTATCCAATACAGTAAAAATAAAAAGCAATATATGGGTTCAGAAAGTATCCACATTTTTGGGAAGAAAACAAGAGCTCTAATTACTGCATTGAAAATATGTAATACAAACCCTTAAACATGGAAACATTTTCAGAGACCTTTTAAAGACTTGTGATCTCTCTGATCCAGCCACAAATACACACAGTTGCAAAAGGTGTACATAGAAGTATGTGCACTAAAGCTAACACACAAACAGTTTCTCCACCACTGTCATATGTGCTTCTGTCCTTTGCCCTCCCTCTCCATGCCTCCATGTTCTACCTGCCCACCCCCTGAATTTGTCCCAATTCATTAGCAGAGGAGTGCTTGTAGCAGAACAGCCCCCCATCCTCCTCTTCCTCTCATGCCAGGAATACAGTGGAGAAACACAAACCAGTAATTAGCCCCATATCTCATTAAAGCTGACTTGACTCCTCAACCTTACAACATTACAGTCATACTACCATGGCAGGGCTTAGATGCCTACAGGAGTGGAAAGTAGAAGGAGGGCGTGTGGGAGCAACTAAGAGAAGGAAGGAAGGTTGGGTAGAGTGAAATGGAAGGAAACTGTGAGAGTGAGAGGCAAGAGAAAAAAACAGGGGGGTAGGAACAGATGAACAAATTGCTAGAAAGGAGGGGGGTGGATGAAAAAGAATAAAGATCCATAGGAGCACCAGGTTTTCCAGAAGCTATTATTACAGGGTTTGATGCAGTAGGTCATCAAAACCTTATTAAGATTTACATAAGTTTCCGACAGGGAGAGAGAGAGAGGCTTTCCCCTGGGGGATTTCTCAGTAATATCACGTGAAAAAAATACAAGACGTGAAATATAGAAGCTTATTTAATGGGAATAATCCACATCATCTTGGGAACAAGAGCTGTTGTTTTTATTCTTTTTTTCATTTGCTCACAGCATGCCATATATTTAACATTTTCTGACAGTGATGTATGTAGCAGCTCGAAAAAGTTTAAGAAACACTGAGTCAAAAAATTGTGTTGATATCTGTATATATTAAGGCATAAATGTTGTAGGTGTTACAAAATGCAAATGCAAAAATGATTCAATACACAGGGTATTAGGAAAAGGTGCCAGCATGGCAGAAAACAAAGACAAATGGACTATGAAATGTTCCTGTTGCTTTTCACTCTTTCGTTTTTTTACACACTTTTTTAATCACTCACAGTAATGTAGATGACAATTGTCAACAATTATAGTGAGTGGATTGGTTTCACTTACTAATATCCACATTATACTCTAAAGTTGGACCTGTAAACTGTGAAATTCAAATTTGTGAATTCACCTCATCTTAATGTAGTACAATAAAAAGCCTTTCACCATGAATAGTCTGTGTTAAACAAAGCCCGATCATGCAGGCTGTTTCAGCAAATTAAATTTTATGGGCTACTAATAGCACTTTTATGGTATAAATGAGTGCAAGAAGAAAGCCTCACCCAAAGAACTCGCACGTCTGGTTTCCAAACTGAACGTTGACACTGCTGCCGGCGCCAAGGTTTTCTCCCATTATGGTTACTTTCGTGCCCCCAGACTCTGGACCTCGGCTAGGGGACAGACCCGTGACTGTGGGTGTCTACAAAACAGGGAGATGCAGAAAAAGATGGGTTAAAAGACACTGTGAGAGCAAATTAAAGGGAGAGGGAAGGATCAAAAAGGAAAGCACAAAGCGGGTGACCAAAAGGCAAACTAAAAGATGGATATTTCCTAAGATAAAAAAGGGCAGCATCTGTGTGCTACCTCTTGAAACCTTCGTGTATTATCACAGATCCCCAGCAAATTACAGTTATTCATATTGCCAGGCCGATGGCAGTGGAGTGCAGCGATGGTGAGAGAAAAGAGGATAAAACCTGGAGCTCTTAGAGTCCCTGAGAGATCCTCCTACTGTGTGTCGTGTATTGCTGGGTTGTGTCTGAGTGAAGCTTTTTAAAGACAGTCTGAAAATAACTAGTGTTTACAGCTGCAGGCAGCTAGCCCGCCATCACACAGACAGATGGAGAAATATCCAAGCAGACAGCCCGTCATACAGAGAAACACACATGCAGCAGTACACACAGACACAGACACACACATTTGAGTACATGCACCTCTATGTGCACAAATATAAAACAACAATTTAAAACAAGCTAAATGTACACTGTCATTTTTGCTGCCCCTTTGCCAAGTGCTTAACTATTTGCTGGCTAAAAAAGACAGTCACATAGGGGTGTATCTTTTTTTCTATGTGGACGGCAAAAGGGAATTGGAAGTGGTGCCAATTCTAGGCTCTGTGAAGTATTCCTCGAGGAATTCCACTGCTTCCCAGAGTAGCAGCTGTAACACTGGTGAGAAAAAGTAGCCGAGGATTTACTACAGAGCCAAGAGCATCACACTGGCAAATCTCAAAACTGTCAGCTAAGTGTGACTTCCAGGATACAGGCTAAAGCAGGTACCCTGAAAACAAGAGTAGTAATTACTGGCTGCTGTTAATTGTTAAGGGAGTGCTAATTGTGAAGGTGTGATACAGCGCAAATGGAAAAGTAGATTATCTTTTAGCTGCAGGCTGGGCGGATGACAGAGACAGGGAAATGTGTACGTCAACACGAGAGAATGGGGAGTAAAGCATGTTTACCTGCCGAGTGGAGGGCAGCTCTCCATTTTAGGAGGTTGTTTGTCCATTTGTCTTTTCTTTTTGTCTTTCTCATCCTCTCTCTTATGACCCCACCCAACCATTCAATCACATTTGGTTCACTATTTTCACTTCCCAGTTTGTACGAGCTGTTGCTTATGGAACTTTAAAAAAACACCTCAAGCACTGCAAGAGCTCTCAGTACAATATACAATACAATTAAAACAAATACAAATACCTCCAAGAAATCTTTAAATATATTATTATTTTTTCCATCCTTTGAGTAATGCTTAACTCAATACAGCCCAGCTAGTGAGTTGTAAAGAATATATATTTGCAAAACTGTATAGTACATGAGGCTATATTAATTTAACTTCATGATCCTGACTCAATAAAAGCCAGCAGCATCTACAACCAGAGAGCTGCAGAGATCATTAACAAAGACCCCTTGAAAACCTTGTATAGTTAACAGAAGTATGTTATTTGGAAAATAACAAGTAAGCATACACAGAGCTGCTTAATTGCACTACATCGGTAGTCATGGCAACTCACACATCATTATTTGCCTGTGGCGCATACACAATTACTTTGCAAGAAAAGTACAAATCAATTTTAATTGAACTAACTATATATTTTGTATCGCTTTAATGCAGCTCTTTAGTTTGTCTCATACTAAGTTCAGTACACCTTACTAATGTGCATTATATTATATGAGGATAAAGAGCAATGTGGTGTAATTGCAGTCATTACCACAAAGGAGTAGAGTTGCGATGAGCGAGCCCTGAGTTCTGGTCTGCACTCTCCAACACACAGCTGGACAGGACCAGGTCTACTTTCAGCAGGAGCAGGGTCCATTTCACATACAATCCTGCAAAACACACAAAATAATTCATTAAAATCACTGTACATAGTTTTATTGAAAGCAAAAATAGCCACTTGTACAAAGCTGAACTGGAGCAAATTCAATCGTTCTTAAAATTAACTTAAAGCTCAGAAGTTGTCTATATGTTTAAATGCTTGAGCGAAGTTGGGAGAAAGTAATCAAAACGCTTCTCTGCTTGATATCGATTTATCTTCCAGTCTAAATGCAATCTTCTTTTGTTGTCTCACTCATTTCATTACGGGACACATCCAGACATCGACAAGGACCCCCTCGATGACAGTCTGTAAATGAGACCAGTGCTCCTCTTCCCTTGGCACCCCAACACGCCCAATCAGAGCGATGTAAATTTCCCACCAACAACCAGGCCCCCGACGGTGCTGGTGCTGTGCCAGTGCGGTACGTCTAATGTAAATCACGCAGCAGGATCAATACAGCTTTATCATATCATGTGATCAGGTGTCACCCAGCGCTGCAGGTGACTAGATCAAATGACATAATAAAACAAGGACGTCTATTGATCGGTGGTGCCAGGGAGTAATAAAGTACAAGAAGCAATCATAGTGTGGAAAGAAAGATAGAATATGTGGTGAAGCAGATGGCAGGGGCAGGCAGGAGTAAAGCAGATGAAGCAGAGCAGACGTATTATTTCTCCAGCGCTGATCATCTGAATTACAACAAATGACTATGTGTAAAGGAAGAATTACTAACTGATAGAACTGATATTTTCTTCTCACTAGGCCTCAATAAAACAGAGAGACTCACTTGCTTCTCCACCTGAAGGCCTACTGTACTGGTCCTTTGAGAAGCAAAACATTTATGGAAATATGTATGGCTTTTCAAAACTGAACATTCAATTGTGTGTTCTCTGTCCACCAAGAGGCCTGCTCTTTCCATAAAACCTGAGGGTTACTTTTAAACTGAATTCTTACTAAACGAGGACTCAATTTGGCCACTACAAAACTGCTGCAGAGTAGCATCAGCCCTCAGAAAAATGTACTTTCTGACTGCTGAAAAACACAAAAGTTGAGACTTTCTCTTCAAAGCAGGAGCGGCTTTCACACAACCCTCTGAAGTGGTAACATAAAAGACATATAAATATGTATGCTTTTTTCTTTTTTGTCCGATCCAGTCCAGTCTTCCATAGGAAGCCCAGTGACTGAATTAAGAGTCGAAAACAAACAGCAACAGTCAGATAAGGACATGCATATAATGAACCTAGAGCCAATATGACCCCAAAAGGCTCTGAATAAAAGTCCAGCTCAGAAAAGCCTCACGAAGACTGCAAGTTCGACTGAAGGGGTCATGGGTTAGTTTTTTAATTTCGTTCAGTCTATTTTTCTACTTGCCATATAAATGAATTCCCTAGCTTGTCCCCAAATGGATTAAAGTGCTGTCAGATCAGTACGCTGCTGACAAATTGTCCCCTACAGCCAAGTGGCACATTGTGAATTTTAATTACAACTTCCCAGTAAAGACCCACAGGAACCACAGACATACTGTACGTTATATTTTTCAAATAGCACCAAAAGTGGGAAATATCCAGATTTAATTATCAAAATAACCAGAAAGTTAGTTGCAATTGCACAAGCACATGTATGTGTGAGTATACCATATGTGTGTGTGTGACATATGCATTGTAGCAGCACCATAAAACTTAGTGTGTGAGTTACAGCGATGGTGCAGTGCCTAGCTGTTCTCTTTCTGAGGGCAGAAGTAGGCCAAGGAAAGAATTAGGGTTAAAGGGTCCTTTGAGAGCCATGACTGTGATAGCCTATGTGTGTGCGTGCGTGTGTGCGTAAGTGTATGTGTGTCAGCCATGCCTCAGTGCGCAGCTATATATTTAAAACTTTACACTATTCTCTAACTGATTCCAGCACAGTGGAGGAAGGATTCTTTCTATCTATTTCTAAAGGAATTTGTGATGTCTCTGATGCTGAGTTTACAGTGGCCATGTTGTACTACATTTTTATATTTATATATTTTCCACATAGCGTATTGATTTTCCATGGTGTGATTATTTAATCTATAGTAGGCACATAATGAGTATTTTCTGCACTACTGTAACTGTACAGCCTGTACAGCATCCTTTAAAATTATTATAGAATCAGATTTTTTCATAAAGAATTTCATTACCTGCAGCAAAGCTCAATACCCAAAGGCAATCCAACCTAATGCTAATCCAAATACATTAATATATATTTAGAGTAAAGCGTCTTAGCAGTGTGTGTATGTGTACATCCATGCCTTCCCTTGCAAGGTCTGCATCACCTGGGGAGGTTAAACAACCATGAGGCACTGGTTTCTCACTCTACACACGTCTGCGTGTCTAGCCAAGGGAGGAGATGGGCAAGTTGTGAAGCATGGGCAACGTTTCATTAGTTCAGGGTGAACGGGACAGGCTTTAATGCGATGTATGCACAGCATGGGACAATTAGGGAGGTAAACACAAGTAAACACACACAGCTGTTATGGGATCGTTGCTGACTAGATGAGCTACAGAGAGAGCGTACTGGGCTAGTGTGCTGCAGGGGGAAGACAGCAATGTCAGGGCAAGACTGTCTGGTCCTGCTCCAGTCTTTATTTAAGCAGAATACACACATATTGTTCAGCGTTTGTTAGCTGTTACACCCCATACATACATTTATGTATCAAAACACCAGTCTAGATGCACAGTATTATAGTATTACTAATAACACGTGTTTATTATCTTAAAGCTCTGTATGACATTTCCTATCTTGTTTACAAACTGGGATAATTAATAATAATTTCCACTTCCATGCTGCATTGTGAACAATACATGGCAAAACATTTCCCAACTGCTTTCAGTAACTTGACAGAAGAATTAAGTCTTCAACTAATATTATTAGTATTTATAAAAATCTGCATTAATTGAGTTGTAGTTTTCAATCATCATATGACCAATAACAACAGTTTTAAAATGATAACACTAGTGCTTGTCCTGTTTGTGTGACTTACTGTTCAGCGATGATGTAGCCATCCTCTACAGGGGTACACCTCACCCCTGCAACCTCTACATTGCCCACCATGTCCGAGAAAGCCAGACCAAGGTTCGTGCCATGGATGGTCACCCGTGTGCCTCCCTCTGGGGGTCCAGCCACTGGGGTCACCTACGGCACATTAAAAGCCCAAAAAAACTGTAAATGCTTTTGGTGAAAAGTGACATTAAAATATGTTCTTCTCTCTTTAGCTATGGATCATACATGAGCACAGGTTTCCGTGGATGCTCAGGGGTAAATATACTCTTACGGTCCAGGTGGCTGTAAAAGCAATTAAGAGCACTCCCACGCCTGTTTCCACAGAATGTCAGAACATGCCATGAATCACTGTGCCAAGAGCATGCGCTAATCACAATAGTAGCTAACATTTTGTTGCCTTTTCTGTCTAAATACTGCATAACATTCATACACAAGCAATCACGCATGAGGACCACACTTCTAAACGTTTTTTTTATTACAACTCCTTCCTATAAACTATACAATGGTAAATCCAATATAAAAACTTTACAATTAAAAAAATGGGATGGATTATTAACATTCTGCATAGACGCCTGATCAGAATCTACTGCTGTTGCCATGGATGATAAATCTAACAAGGGGCCATATTAATGCTTAGTGCAGACCACCTACTCATAAAATACAATATGGCTGCCCAGCATGACCTTGGCACAGGGTGGCACATTGCCTTCTGTGCTGCAGAGCCCTGTTGAGGCTCCGACCTGGCTATCATCCAGCCCTTTAAACAAGAGAGTAGAAGAGGAGGAGGAGGAGGAGGAGGAGGAGAAGGAAAAAGGAGTGAGAGCATGGAGAGAGAAAACAGAGGAAGGAGATAAAGAAAGATCAAGAGAGTAGAGAATACTGTTCACTGGACAGGGAGGTAAACGATCGAGGAGACTAAGAAAGAGGAGGGCAGAGGGGAGGAGATGACTGTCACTTTGCTGTGTGGGGCTGCTAGTGGTATGTAAACAATCAATATGCTATTACTGGCCATGCAAGCAGAAGGGAAAAGAACAACAGTCAGTTGTGCCCGCTTACTGAGCCGAAAAGTGCCACGTGATGGCAACCCTTCCAGTGGTGCTGTACACCCTCCCGTCCCTACCCCCGACACCCACTAGGGCATTGCGACTTCCCTGTGGGACATCGGCATTGTAATCTAGATTCAGTGGACATTAATTGCTCTGGATGTAAAGTAAGTGTGTCACTGCACTGCCTGAGGGTCCTGAATACATGAATCTTTTAGCACTGCTTGGGCTTGCAGGGTATAGAGGGGGGGAAAACATAATGGCTAAATATATCCATGTCAGGCGATGGCAGCAGCTATTCGAGTAGACTTAGTGATGGTTACATAAGCAATGCAAGGGCCTGAGAGAGAACAAGAGAGAGGGGAGGAGAGAGAGGGGATAAGAGACTATGAGAGAGATATAGAGAGAGAGAAAGAGAGAGGGACTGAAAGAAAGAGGAGATCAGAGGAAATGGGATGAGCCACAGAGGGAATGTGGATGCCACTCTGTTCGGTCAGCCATGATGGATGACAGGTGAGGCAGGGATGGTGACAGGATAGCAGTGCTGTATCACAGATGGGCATGTTAAAAGCTTGGGAGACCTCCTCCTTCTACCCTTGAGGCTGAAATGGACCCCTTCCCACGGTGGACCAAGCACAGGAAGACAGTCTAATCCATGCATGAAACCCATTTGACTGAGCTCCCCATTGGCAGATAGAGCCTTGATTCACCAGTGGATCACAGAAAAACCACCACTTCAAAGGCTCACGCCACCAAAGTCTCCAGGCTGGGAGGCGTGAGAGAAGGGCTGCTCTTTGTTTCTGTGTCTGTATTTCTTACACAAACAAAGGAACTAAATCTATAAAGGACCCTCCCTGTACACAAGACTTTGGTTTGATTGCCTGTAAACCAGATCCGAATGACCTTTTCAGACCAGAGGGAAGCCACTGCAGTCATGTACTGTAGATAATCTTTAGAGGGGCGGCATTTGTCTTTATATTTCACTGCAACATCCTCTTCTTTGCATCTCTTTTCCGTCTTTTGCTTTCTGTCTTTCATCATCTCATCTCCCTCAGGCTAGGTGACACATCCTCCTCCTCCTCCTCCTCTAAGCACCAGCTTGCTTGTTTGTCTTATCATTCAGACTTTATGAGGGAAGAGGAAGAGCAAGCCTCATTGGACATGCATGCACACCCTGCCGCCCTTACTCCCCCCGTTCCCACCCAGTGCTGCCATGCCATGCTCCCTGTGTAATCCTTTTAGGAGCAGTGTTGCTGCCCGCCTGGCATTGTCACACTGTCAATAGAGGGTAATTCCCAACAAACAGCCAGTCAGCTTGCACATCGCACACTCCCTGTTCCTACTCTTGTGCTTTCTGTAGCATAATCTATTTCTCCAGCTCAGAGGATCAGAGCATTGGCCACTTAACCACTACTTCTCCCTTAGACATTCTGCCGGATTTGGCAAAAAACATAAATAGACTGAAGAGGGGTGAGATGGCCTAAATTGAGAAAAGAGGCATTCTAATCCACAAGAAAGACATTTCCAGAAAGGGTCTAGTTTGGGAAGATAATCTGCTAGTTTGAGCAAACTATGGAGACGGAGAGAAATGGCTGTCAATGTGAGCAGCCTGGGGATGTCTGTCAGTGCAGTGTTGACTTATTCAGCTGAAATAATGGTGGGGAAAGTTGTGCTGATGCAGCCAAGGCTAAACTTAATACATACAGCAGAGAGCAATACACCGCCCCAGCTGCCTTCAGGCTATGCAAGCCTAGCATGTCGCTGTAACTACAGTAGCTGACCGAGCTGAATGGCATTTTCCAAGACAATTCAGAGCTAATAATATTTAATCACACCATATATTGTTAAAACATACAATGTCAGCATTTTTACTGTATATTCTTTATTATCAACCTCCGTTTTACAATACATTATAACCATTTTATATCCTTGAAGCTCTCAAGAGATTCTTCCAATTACACTACACAACAGTAGATGTATTTTGATTCTTGCCATAGTTGGGTTATTTTGCTTTTGAAACTAAATAGCCCTTAATACAATTTAGAGCTTGCAGCTAATCTCTTTGTCTTTGGACTCCGCTCAGACTAATTCGAGCATGTCACATTTAATTGTCAGTAGCATTTAATGGGCTTGATAAAACCCTACTGATCACTTGTTCCAGAACAAACTACATCCTAAATACTTTATGGGGTCTTAAATGTCTTGTAGTCAGCCAAGAGATACGGGTCATGATTAAAAAGAGTTTTTAGTGTGTTAAGAGGAGAAAACAAGAGACAAAATGATGGGATGAGAGGTGTATTTGTGGATGACTGAGAATACTGATGCTGTGTGTTTAAACAGGTTATTTGCAACAACTTTTTTGCAAGTTGTAGATGTGTGGTCTTTGTTTGCGTGATGTTGTCTGGCTAGAGTGCAACATTTTGTTCATCCCATCCATTGTTTAATGAAGGGAAGCACACATACTGTACAGCAACTCTCTCAGGGTTACAGCAGTGAGGAGAGTTCAGTTGTACCATTATACTGACTGACAGGCCCACCATCCCTGTGGTGTTCAAAATATCAACAAAAAGCTTGCATACACTGTGTGAGTGAGAAAGAAAGGAATCCTACACTATTTTATATCCTAGGGCAACAGCTAGATGTTTATATACACTGTCATTGGGAGGCAGGGAAGCCCCTTTGCTATACTTTAAACTAGTACAGAAGCCACGGCCAAAGCCCATTGAAGAGATGCTTTTCATATGCCCATCCAACTCCCAGCTTCATTTGATGTCGTTCCCTCTGCTGTTAGCAGGGGCTTACATCTCTTCAATATTAATGGCCCATGGTGGGAGGCACCATGGCACTTAATAGAAACATTAATTATTCACAAGGCCTATCTGGTGGTAGGCACATCTACTAATGTGCTAGTATGTATACAAATCAGCTCATGATGGGGGCTTTGGTGCATACAATCAAAACCAAATTTATTAATAAATTCAGCCCACCAGGGGGATGTCTGCTTCTTAAAGAAACTGTAATCACTGAGAGACGGAGGGGGTGGGGCACAACACAAACGAATGCCGACTTCACCGGCAATGAAGAGGAGAGATATTGGTACTGTGTGTATTTGAAGTATGTGCTCATGTGAATCATCTAAATTAGAGCGGAGTTGGTTTTGCCACCTACAGCTGTAAACAGACCTGAGTTCAGACAGCCACAGGGGCTCCATTTCCCTTTCCTCTTCCCCCTCTTCACTCTTTCCACCTTTTCATGGTTCAGTTCCTCTGCTCTGTCCTTTGTTCCATCTGTTGCCTCTCTTCACCCCACTCAAACCCTCCATACTCTCCTTGCTTTCATTCACAATTATCCATTTCTCAAAGGAAAGATTCAATCTGTAACACTCTTACTCTGTAATCTATCATGAGTCAGTAAGGAATTATTTATTTTTATTTTGCTATATTTTGCCAAAATGCTTTTTGACAGCTCTCCTGCAACACTGAACTTTTTGCATCGATCTTTGGCTTACTCACTGTGTGTAGATGGAAAGAGCTTTGGCAATACGTTTTTTCTACTCAACCCGACACCTCTAGCTGAGAATGTAAGTTTGCAGCTGGTGTAGGTGGACAGATTGGTGTGCCTTTCCCTTCTGCCTGGTTATTGACCATGAGAAAGTCTGTATGCCCTTACCATGATTCTGACAAACTAACATATAAACCTGATGTTCTCTGTACATAGTTGAGATGGTTGAAATGTTGCTGTAGCTCTTCTGAAAATATCTTGAGGTGATATCTTGTCAGTTAAAACAGACTGGGAGTTATGATAAGTATACCATTGGAAAACAGATAAATCCAATAATTCAATATATATTATTATTATTACTATACTGCAACCAAAGCTGCCAACTGTTCAAGTTTACTTTAAATTGTTCATTTAATACTTGCTTTGCTGCTCAATATGTGATTGGGCCAAAGCACCTGCCTTATAGATGAATGATGAACTATTTTTGCACATTATTAAAATTAGGAATTTCTCTATGCTCAAATGGAAAGAAAAAAAGCCTTCATGTATTCTCCTCGAAGTGTTAAAGTTTAAGGCTTTTTCTGAATATCTCCCATCTTTTGTCCCTTGATGTTTGCAGAGTGACAGATGAAGGTCTGGGCAAGTGGTGGCCTTGGTAAATTGCATACTGTGATCGTAACACTAATGAAAACACGGAGTGGAATGAAGTATGTCCCACTGGATGGCAGTGAGCATGTGCCATAGAATGACAAACTGAAAGCATAATGGAGTTATGCAAGTGCATAATTTAATTCACAAAGATGAGTCAGAGATAGTGATACACAGAGACACACACAGGGAGGTAAGACGACAGACAGAAACAGATAGGCAGAGTGATGGAGAGGCAGAATTAAAAAGTAGGGATGGCCTTCTTCTTCATCCTGCCTCTCTTTTTCTGCCTTATCTACATACAGTATAGCAAATCAATTAACCAAGTCGTTAACTTCACTTTATAATTGGCAAGAGTTAGATGTGAGTATGCGGGGGAGGAATGAGTCAAATGAATCAATGCAGAGGTAGAGGGGTCTGATGGTTTAACCACAATGCACTGGTGCGTTACCAAGCCTAATTAAATAGTATGTCCTCTCAGCCTGACTCCCCTGTGACAGCAAACCCACCAGGCGGGATGAAAATGTGGCCTGAGCAAGCAAAGGCCTACTTATGGGAAAACAAATAAGCACTTCCAGGTCTTGACCCTGGTGTTGCTGAGGTGGAGGATATCCAACCATTGGGTTGAGTTGTTGCAATGGCTGAGAAGGCTCAGACAGTAGGAAAAACAAAGGAGCCACGCATGCGCCTCCTTGTTGTCTTTATGAATAGCAAGATAATAAAGCAACATTATGCAACTATTTTACCTTAAAATAAAAGCTTTAAAATAATTTTAATGCTACACTGACCCGTACACCTGTTCTCACACTATGTAACTTCGGTTGGCAGTTCGCGAGAATGGAGAGAGTGACCAGGCAAGAGGTGGCCGACTAAGAGTAAATCTCGGCCTGGCTTTTAGTTGTTGGTGACAGCTTTGCAAAACGCAAAACTGGCCTTATGGCTGTTGAACTATTAAGTAATATTACCTGGTTTGCTATGTCTTGTTTTGTTGCAGTTGCTTGATGTTTGGCTGTGTTAGCAAAGTTGTAGACTCAATGGTTTTTGATCATAAGTAATGTAATTATAACAAATGTACATGCCCATATTTAGAACAGCGGTGTATGTGAATTGCACTCTAAAACTGGGGGCAAAGAAATACCAATTATTGCATAATGTGGCTTTAAAGAGAAGAAGAAGAAGAAGAACAAGAAGATATACTTTATTGATCCCCTACGGGGAAATTGTTTTTGTAAGATAGCTACAATAGGAATAGCTACTTGCTCATTCAAAGGGGCTGTTTTCCTTTTGTATGAGTGTTGAGTGTCTGATTTTTATATATATGGTTCCCGCTTTAACATCTGTTGGTGCCAAAGGGCTGGAATAACCTTGTGAGAAGACAAAAGACATTAAAATCTATGAGCAGGCATCTGTGCATACTGCACAAAGAGAAGGCAGATGTCAAAGAGACAGGCCTTTTAAAACTGAATGTTTCTGGTCCTGTTTGTGTGTGTGTGTGTGTGTCACGGCCCTTGCCCTTGGATAAACCCTGAAGGTAAGAAGAACTATGCCAAGAATGTGCACCTGTGAGCATACACAGATACATACACAAGCATACACATAATGCAATGGGGTATATGCTTGTTTTGCTCTTTAGCGAAAAAAAACAACAACTGCTCTCTTAATTAGAGAAAGAGATACAAAAAGAAAAAGATAAGAAAGTAAGTCGCTGAACATTTACAAATCTGAAGGAATTAGGTGGGTCCAGAGGGAAACAGACTAGCACAGCTGCTTCTCATGCAATTTCTCTCAATGACATTTCATTGTCAACCTATCCGTCTCTTAAGAACTGTGCTGTTATCACTTCTCACATTTATAGGACTGTTTCAAATAAATTGAACATGCCAGGATCATGTGATCTGAGTATACTGTGCTTTAATGGTCATGGTGTACAAAGCAAGTCTTTAACTGTGTAATAGTTCCACCGCTGTCACCAATGACAATGCCTTATCAAGTTGCTACATGCTGTTATAGCTGTTAACTTTTGACTTTTAAGTACAGTCCCACAGTATCAGCTGAGTACCTCACAATTCTCTACGAAAAACTAGGACGAGATCTAACAATGTGGTAGCTGATTATTGCACATTGATTGGAGCTAGATATGTGTGGGCAGGCAAAGGGGACGTTCAGAGGATTATGGGTACTGACCTCAGTGATGCGTGGGTTGGTGCATTTGACATTCTTACTGGACAGGTTCAGCCAGCGGGTGGTGTAAGGGTTGATGGGGGGGCAGTGGTGCCGCAGTGTACACCTTCCCTCTCCACTGCACCAGCCACACTGGAACTTCCTCTCTGCCTTCAGGCACATGCCACAGCTGTCCCGCTGGGCTGCACACTTGTACAGGTGCACTGTGGGATACAGGAAGCAGTTGGGATATACAGTGAACACACAACAACTGAGAAACCTACAAAAGTATTTGGAGAGTATTTTATCTAAGGAAAACAGACAGCAGGTTTGTTATGAGTGAAATATCCCCACAGGCTATATCTTCTTTTTTTTAAATCTCCATTGGCAGAAACAACTGTGATTAACATAAATGAACTCTCTTCAAAAAAGACAATATCTGAACACAGAGAGAGAAAATTATCTGTTAAGTGTTATTTTCTGTCCATCGTCATCCTGATTCCTGAGTATCTATAAATCTCCCATTTTGGAGCAGCATCTCTTGTTCTTACCTTGGATATTCTCCGGGTTATCAATAATGAAGTTGCCGTTCCACACCACTGAGAAATCCACAGGCAGCTCACTGATTTTCATTCCCTCATACAGATACTGGATGATGGTGAGGAAGTTGGGAGTAGAGCGATGGGGATGAAGGTGGAAAAGAGACAAAAAGAGAGGAGGATTTCAATGGGAGGTTTGGGAATTTCAATTCCCATGATTCCTTGTGGATGCAGTGCTATGTCCTTCCAAAGTTACCCCAAAGTTACATCATCTCATCATCAGAGAGCTGACAAAGTGTGAAGCCACAAGAAATGGGACAGCTGAGCAGAAACTTGAACTTCCCTTCTGCCCTTTAGAGACGCTGTCCTTAACTGCCTCCTATGCCCTTAATTCCAGCCTGACTTTCATTGTCCAAGAATGTGTATTTGTGTGTGTGTGAGAAAGAGAAAAAAAGGAGAGAAAGAAAGAGGAGAGGAAAATGTGTAAGTCTGCGGTTCCTTTGGGAATACTGCAGAAGTCAGTGTGTGCTTGACTGGAGGGCAGAGCCATGCTGCAGTCTTCTCCAGTGTAATTACATAGGCTGCATCTACTGTGTCTCCACTGACTAAATGACACACATATGTACACAAACACACACAAACACACACTGTGGCAATGTGGGATGGCTTTATACAGACAATAACATAACCTATAAAACTACCAACGTACAGCATCTTCTCAGCAGCTTCTTTCTGCATAATGAATTCACAACGTGAATGCAAATAAATGATAACTAAAACAAAAAAAATCATGCATCACCAGTTACACCTAATCTGGCACAATCTTCGCTGGTGTCACCCAACCTACCGAGCTGTTCTGGCACTGCACACTGGAGCTGTTGAAGCGGAGGGCAGTGACTCGGTGGCTGACCCCCTGGATGTGGAGGACACACTCGTAGCCTCGTTGGCCAGACTGGGGCTGGGGCAGGTTCCTAGCCTTTAGGGTGATAGGCTTTACCTCCCCCACTGGGATCAGAATCTCCTCAGAGCGCACCAGCTGGGGACAGTCCTTAAGGAGACAAGTACAGGGCAGGGAGCACACATCAGTGCCAACAAAACAGAAAAACACCAGAGTGATGAATAGAAAGGATAATAAGAAGTATGAAGCACAATGAGTGCTGACAAAATGGAAGTTTGAATCTGAAAGTGACTCTTATAACCTTGGAAAGAACAACTCATTATCAAGAGTGGAATGTGAAACGGTTTAACTGGTAAAGAGAATGATTAAATAAGAGCATAGTGGTTTACAGCACAAGGCAGCAGTTTTGAGGTCAATACTGTAAGCAATATACTGTGAAACCAACATTTGCATATGTTTAAGGAGAGTTAAAAAAAGGGTTAGGGTTAACACATATGTATATTGTAGCAAAAATACTGTGTACATAGCCAGAGACACATGGAAACCAACATACACACAAGTTATTAAGTTAACACAAGGTATCAGTTATTTCAAACAGTTTGTATCTACTGCACGATTGACTGGGTCAAAGTGATCCTGTGTCATTGTTAAGACACGCTAAGCTCAATAACTCCAGAGATAATAGAGTGTTAATTGCTACTGCAGAGAACAAGAGCTCTGAGTGAGAAACGTCAATTCGGAAATAGAAGAGCTTAGATGGCTGTCTTTCTGAAGACATGCCCTGAGGCTGACACAGAGCTGGAACACAGAGCAGGATGCAGGCAGAAGGAAACAGAGATGGGGAATGTGCAGGAAAGAGGAAAAGATAGGAAAGAAAGATAAAGTTGTGCTAGCAATGTGCTGCTTATATGCATGTGTGTGTTTGTGCATGCGTGAGATCCACCAACCTCAGAGGCGTTGACTCGTCCCTCCTGGAAGGAACAGCTGGAGGGGTCATGAGTACACAAGTTGCGGTACTTGCACCAGTGGCAACGGAAGGCACTGTTCACACATGACAGACACCTGCATGGACACACACACACAGAGGGAAAGAGTCGTATCAAGGAAAGGCAGCGAGTTTGCCAAAGTGGGGGAAGTGCCACAGAGGAAATGAGTTCAGATCCCAAGTGGGCACCTGCTGTTGTTGTGCCCTTGTGGTTGGCACAGTACCTAATAGCTGCTGGGCCAAGTTCTCCCTGCATATATTTTCCACTGCCGTATATTAATACTGTGTGTCATGTGCGAACGGTAGGCTGCATATTAGCCCTCATAACCAGAATCAGATGGAGAAAGAGAGACAGAGAGCGAGAGAGTGGAGGAACGTTGAGTAATGAGGACAAATAAGACATTGGCGCAGCTTGATCCTGCAATTACCATTAGCCCTGCATTGTTGGAGTGTCGCTGTAATTACCAGCTGTTAGGTGTGTGTTTGTGTGTGAGCCTTTTCATGTACGTGTGTATGTGTCACTATAGGGGTACATACCGTCTACTGCCAGTGGTGGAAGAAGTATTCATAGTCTTTGCTAAAGTAAAAGTATCAATACTATAATGCAAAAATATTCTCATTGCAATTAAAAAATCCTGCATTCATACTTAATACTACTAAATAATTACTAGCAAATGACCTCAGAATACTACTTGTACTACTTCTTCTATACTACTACGACTGTATCTTCCAAAACTATATACTGGTTACATGGATGCATGAAATGGAGAGATGAGCAAACGGACAAGAAAACAGGATGGAGTGACATCCTGAGGCTGCAAGGTATAATACTCAATGTGCAAAGACAACATGCACTTTTAATTGATTGTGATGGCATTTACTACACTGTGTATTCATGACCAGTGGTTCGGAGAGTGTATTGTAGTCACACTTGGCTCTCCTCTCTTTCTCTCTCTAAAATAAGGTTGAGTTATGCATAGTTGGTTATTGTGAAATATTCATCAGTGCAAAAGCATGGGAGGGATCTCTGGCAGGCACAATAATTCAGAAGAATAGGGCTGATTCACCTTCTGGCAAATAGAGTGTAAAGTATGTGTGTAAGGGAGGGAGAGAAAGACAGAGCACAAGTTGGCGTGCGAGGGAGAGCGTTTGCCCTTTTCAAGTGTATGCATCTTTCTTTGTGTATTTGAGTGCGTGTGTGGCTGTGGCTGTGTGCGCAAGCATGTTTGTCGTCGCCGATTAACTGAGCTGATGTGAGAGCTGGTAATTGCTTTCTGTGCTACTCAGACAAGGTTCTCAGACAGCAGACAGCCATAAGAAGCTATAAGGCAGTTTGTGTTTGTGTCTATGTGTGTGAGAGAGAGAGAGATGTGGAAAGGGAAATGCAGAACATTGCCTGCATTAATCTGGCAAAAGAAGGCAGTAGCTACAACATTTTGTTTTAATGTCAAGGGGATAGTGAAAGGATAAAATGATGACATGCTATGAGTCCTGGTCTCCTGCTAGCGTCACTGCTGCGATATCCTTAGTCTCCCATTCAGTGATACTCCCAAGTCACCGAGGCCTTTGGATCTAGCACAAACAGAATCTGCCACATTGGAATGAAGCGAGCAATTGCAAAGGCACCGCCGACACTGAGATCTCCAATCCAGGGATTCAATTCAACATCACTCAATCAGGGACAGACATGGCATGAAAGCGGCCATGAAATCCCTACTGAAGACCTGTTAGGCAGAAAGCGGCGTGCTTTGTAGCGCTGTGTGTCTGAGAAGAAGGCTTCATTAGCGAAACAGCACTGGAACTTCCTGTTACGGGGCTCAGGGAGCAACCAGCGATCAGATTACATCAGTCTTTACAGGAGATATTTTTAGGGGACTGGGGCTGGCTAAGGTTGAGGACAAATTGTAACTAATTCCCAAAGCATTGATCCAGTGGTTTTGGGCAGCAGGTCTGAGGCATTGTTTTTAATAAATGAAAAGAGAATGAATGGGTTCTGAGAGGGATACTCACAGTTGGTGGATGCTGCAGTTGTAAAACTTGACCTCTGTGCTGATAAGCATCTGACCAGTCTCCTTAGAATTGAGCCTGAGCTCAACGCCTGACCAATCTGAAAGAGACAATAGATGAACTATTACTGTAAGCTTGTGCATTATTATAGTGCAGTCCAATTTATATTTGCATTACTTTACATGGTTTTGAACAGCAGACATAATTAAATCTTAGAATTAGTTAGCTGTTTTGAGCTGGTGATGTTGGCAAACAAGTGAAAAAAACATCCAGAAAGGTAGCATTTCTCGCATGGTATTGTGTATTCGCAAGCCAAATTAAAAGACACTCGAATATATGTGCATACAATAAGCAAATTTCAATCACATACAGAGCCATTTAATTTGATCAAATTGTCTTTTCCTGCATCTTGCTGAACAGAGTTCTGGCTGTGCTTCTGTTCTCTGTAAAACCTGCCTCTTATCTCTCCCCACGAGAATACAGACTCCATAAATATGTGTGTGTTTGTATATGTGTATGTGTAGAGCAGCCTGAATTTCAGATGACATTCAGTGTGTAGGAGGCTTGAATGACCCTCCGTGCCCTGTTCTCTCCACAGCACCTGTTGGGAATCAGGCTCTGTTTCACACAAGCAAGCAGGCTAGGCTCATAGCTGACTTCTACTATTGCACATTTGTCTCACATGATCTTGCAAACAAAGTGGTAAAGAGTTCCTGTCCACACAAAACCTTGTCTAGGGTTTTATTTTTCCTTAGTGGAGAAAAGTGCCAGCTATTTTCTTTATTTTCAAGCTCAACATTAGTCCATTGTCCTCGCAGTTTTATCCTAATCTCTCCTTCTACTCCTTTTCTCTTGTTTTAATTTTCTCCTCACTGCTTTCCCCCCTTCTTCTCCACTTTTAATCTAATTTCCTCATCTTATTTCCTCCTCTCATTTCCTTTTCTCCTCTCCCCTCCTCTCCTCAGGTCATCGCCACCGCACGATCAATGTTGATGTGCAACAGATAGAAATGCTTGCTAGGGGACAGGAGATGGAGGAGGATAGTGGGGAGGTCAGGAGGAAGAGGCCTCAGGGGATTTAAGTGGAGTAAAAAATGGAGGTAAAAACAGCTGGGAGAGGTAACAAAAGAGGAGGGAGGGACAGGGAAGGTGGTCAAAAGGAAGGAGGGTAGAGGGAGAGGAAAGGTAGGATGGATGGATAGCTAGATGGATGGAGGAAGGGCTTATGGGGGGATTGGCTGACATTTACCTAGGGGAGAACATTCATATTAGCGCCTGATGCACCACTCCCCATGGGAGCTCTGGGCAAACAGGGCTGTCATTTACTCACAGGGAGGAGGATTACCAAACCCCCAAAACACACAGTGATTTCCACACACTGCACATAATATATTATTCAGGGTGTTTGGTTTTGTCACCCTGCAGCCATCTTGGCTTGCAAACAACAGGTATTTATTGTCAAACAACAGGTGTTAGTATTCATAATGATTTATATGTTTACAAATAAATAAATGCCAGTGGTATATTTATGGAAATATGCTGGAGGAATGCTTGAAAGGTCATGATATTTCTATGAATAGTATATTAGAGGTAATTAGCATATATTTACTCCTCGAACTAAAAGTTTTCCCAAGCAGTGTCTAGATGTGTTTTACTCAACCCCAAATATGTTCTGTTGTCTATATTTTGTGAGATGGTGTAAAAATGGCTGATTGGACCTTTTAAACAACTTCTAAACAACAAATATAATTAATTACTGTGAGGGATTACAATTATTATTTATAATATATTTGTTCTTTGTGTATTTATCAAGTATTACTAAGGAGCAAACAGCAGACCGGCTCCTTGTGTCTTGGCTATGCTAAGACACTAATCCACCGCATCAACTTCCCTGTCGTTCCTTCGACTAAATCGTCCCTTGGCTGATTGAACCTGCATGTTAGACCATAGCCTATTAGCCTTATCTGAGGGCAGTAATGTGGTGAGCTGCAGCTCAGCCACAGGCCAGGGGACCTCAGTCTGATCCTCCATCAGCTCTAATGGGGCCTGGCCTTGTGTGTAGCACACTTCACAGCCAGACAACTGATCCTGGATCAGTCGGGGCTTGTTATGTTGACGGTACCTGCTCAAACTAGAAGTGTTGAATCAATTTATGCGCACAGATGAACCGTTAACTCAGCGCAGTATAAATAGCTGAAAGAGAGGGACAAATAGGAACCCTACAAAGGCTGCGTTTAGACCAGATATCAGTGTAATGAAGAAAACAATTTTCTGGAATTAAACTAAATCAGTTTGCATGGATGTTAGTATGTGTTTGTCTGTTTCTTGTATCTACCTTGGTCGGTAGGGATGAGGGGCACATCCTTGGCAGCAGGAGACACACAGAGTATCTGGTTGCCATTGACCCGCCCCTCCACCTCCGTCAGGTTGCCAAAGGAGCAGGTGATGCCTGCAGAAAGGTCAGGAACGTGGCTCACCTTCACCAGCAGCTGTACAAGGGTAAGAAACATGACAACAATGTTTATATGATGTGACAAAATTTGGTATTTCCAGTAATTTGAACATAGATCAAAATGGGCAGTACAGTTGACAATATGTCAAAGGAAACATTTGAAAAACACAGTGGCTTGAATGCAGCAGTTAAATTAGCT